TAAAGCCACGTTCAAATTACTTGGCCACGGCTTGAAATTACACACGGGTCTATGGGAAGTGGTGGCAGCCGCTGTCAACGACTTGTGTGTAATTTTCAGCCGCAGTCAAGTAATTCGGACACGGCCTTATAAGCCCGGGTGAGGCTCTATGCGAATGCGGATGCGAAGCGAATTTGACGTCATGAAACATTCGCTGCGAAATTCGTCCGAGTTGATTATGTTCAACTTTTACGAATTCGCAACGCGAATACTTGCCATCACGTCACAAATTCGCGTTCGCTTTTCGCTTTCGCGCCGAGGATGAACCGGGCTTAATAAGGCAGTATGAGTGTCAGTGTTGCGTGTGCTTTATGCTAATCCGAATTTTCCATGTTCACATGAGCGAAACCATGATGACACTTAAGACAGATTGTGAACGCCTTCACGTGAGATGAAATCCTGGTCCGTTGTTGATTTTTTAATTAAGAATGTGAAAAAAAGTACAAGTCTGTAAAAGTCTGTATTCCTTTGCCTAAACAAAATACAGCCCGTGCTTAAAGTGCAATGCAGTGGAATCGTTTTGTAACCGCAATCCTGGAAATGTACCTTTGTGATCCATGTAACTTTATTTGTTGACTTCATATTGCCATTTTTTGCGTGCCTTATTGGTTTTTATAGCAAATGCAAATATCCATATCTATGATCAAAACTGTGATATCATTCAAGGCAGAAACTTCAGTTCAAAGCTTCAGCATCATAAATCCACCAGAATTTTAGTGGTTTGCTGTGGTCATTGTTCGGCCGGCTTTCATATTCATTCTTGTTTCAGTCACTAAGCTTGCTCCATGTTTAAGGAGAATTAAGGAGAATTTTGGGTTCAGCTTACAGAGAAAAATCTTAATCTGAAGAGTGTGTTCCTATAGTGAATCACAGCCACAGCGCCCTCGTTTGGCAGGAAGAGCATGAAACATTTTTTCATGTTTAAAAAAGGTGCCCTTTCCAAAAAAAAATTGACCAAAAGGGATGTCTCGTATCATTAAAAACAAAATACATTTGAGAGGAATGGATATGTGCTACAACTATGTTCCAGTGTAAAATTCAACGACTGCCAATGACTTGATTAAGGCCTTAATACATACAAAAGGCCTCCATATATACAAAATGTCATTGTTATAGATCCGGATCTATGAAAAATGACTTTGGTAACATGGTATTCAAATACTGGGATGGTGTGTCAAGGTTACATAGCAACCTCAACCACGGCAGCATGCATGGCTACAGAGACGGCACATACACAAAGGCCTTCCAGATTGCGTGTGTGTGTGAGCGCATTCATATTGCTCCTCGTTAAACCATGGTGTTCCGGACGAACATTTATGAATGAGCGTTTGTTTACAATCTTTTAAGTGTCGATGGAGGGCGCTGTTTTCCAGTAACCAAGCAACGTACGGAAGTGAAACGAGACATGTCGCTTGTGAGTTTGTGAAGAATTATTGTCAGAAATCACTTCGTTTCTGGAGAAATGTAGTAATTTGAGGCCACAAACCTAGGTGATAATTGCCTCCACGGCCTGCTGAGTAAGGATCACTTTGATTAAGCTGTGTAAGAACTGCCATTTGGTTTTGTACCGGTCGCTTTGTCGTCGCTTACATGTAATCTGCAAATCACATATTCGGGGGGATATTCGCTTGTCGTTATAACTATCGTTGGATCATTCTTGTGTTGTTTGACTGTTAAATATTTCGAAGGTTCATCGTACTACATTGTCGCGTGACTGTATGCATGGCCACCTAAGTGTCTTGTTGATTAGTACAGCAAACTACAGAGTGTATAACATTTGCAGTGTACGACTTTGGAGGCATTTCATGTACTGTGCGATATTGGAGATCATCACTGTGTGAGCATTATCTTTTAACAGATGTGAGAATTACATGTAACTGTGCCAATGCTCTAGAGATAAAGATTACTCACAATCCTGACAGTTTGTTGAATAAATGATGAACATAAGACATATGTGTGTTTGCAGTAAACTGTTAAACAAGCGCCACTAACAGACAGTGGTCGTTAGTGAATTTACACAGCCTAACCCCCCCCCCTCATTTTCCGTACAAAACCAAAGGTGTACTAACTGAACACTGTACACTATTGTGACTGTAAGTGACTTTAAGCTGCATTGTGAGTGAATAATTATAAACAGCAAAGATGAGTAACCCTGGGAGTTTGCACGACAGTTTGGACCAAGAAACAGCAAGCAGGGAAAAGCTAGTGAAGCTCCATAAATTTCGTGGTGGCCATGCTTCGAACATTAAAAGAAAATATAAAGATTTCCAAATTTCTGTGGACACGAAGCTTGATTTGGAGACTGTTAGAAATAGACTGGCCTCATTAGAGTCTGCAGTTGTAAAATATCAGGAAGTCCATGCAGACTGTGTTTGCCTAGCATCAGAGGTGGACAAGGACAAGCTGCCGAAATATGAAGAAGACTTAAATGAAATCGAAGAACTCATGAAGGCGGCTTGCAATACATACAGTGAACTGGTCATTGATCTGAAAGACGACGTAGCCCCGAACGACAACATAGCCCCGAACGATAGTGCTTCGCAGTACAGCACGAGTGTTACAGCCCGGTCGACCGCATCAAGTGCCAGAGCCAAGGTTGCAGCCAAAAGGGCAGCACTCCATGTCAAGGCCAAGTTCCTGAAACGACAGCAGGAGTTGGAGCTTGAGCAACTGAAGCAGAAAATCCAGATGGATGAACAGTTGCTGAAACACAAAGCTGCAATGGAGTCCCTGCAGCTTGAAACAGAGATGGAGATAGCTATTGCGGAGGAGGAAGCATTAGCCAAGTTCACTGACCCCCCACTGCACAACGGTGAAGCGGAGAACCAGGCAGCCACTGGTGATCATGCAGTCTTGAACTCGGAACCAGACTGTGGTGAAGGAGGGTTACCAGTTCAGCAACCCTTATCCACCAATGCTGCAGCACAGATACCGACAACAGACTGTCCAAGGAGTAACGACGTTCAAAACTCCAAGCTTAACCCACTTGCAAAGGCTTGGCCGACTCCCTCAAAGGAACCGGAAGGTGTTTTCCTAACACTGCAGCGTCAGATGTTAGATGTTATGAACCTTCCGAAGACCAGTTTGATGTCCTTTGATGGCAACCCCATGAACTACTGGGCGTTCATGAAATCGTTCGACAGTTGTGTGGGGAATTCGTCTGTCAGCGATGGAGCCAAGTTGAACAGACTGTTCGAGTACTGCAAGGGAAAAGCAGCTCGCGTCATCCAGCCATGCGCAATGATGAAACCTTTAGAGGGTTATGCCAAGGTACGGACACTCCTGAAGGAGAGATTCGGCAATGAATTCAAGATATCGCAGGCCTGGGTCGACAGAGTATGCGAGGGCCCTGTTCTCAAATCGAACAGTGCCGAAGCCCTGCAAGATTTTGCTGATGATGTCCAAGGCTGCATGGAGACGCTTAAAGCCATGAACAAGCTCAATGAGATTGACTCTCGTATGAGGATGGTAAAAATTGTGGAACGGTTACCATTCTTCCTGCAGTCCAGATGGCGTAAAGATGCAGTGAAGACAGTTGAAGCAACTGGTGACTACCCAAACATCAACAGGCTGGCCAAATTCCTGAATGTGGCTGCCAACGAGGCCAATGACCCCGTATTTGGATCCCTCAACACCAAGTACAAGGACTCAAAACCACCAACAAGCAGACCCGGAAATCCAAGGCGAGGGACAACTTTCAATGTCCATGCCAAAGACGGCATGACACAACAGTCATCAGAGTCAAAGAAGTTTGGCACATCATCAGGGAGAGACGGACAGTCAAGGCCGTGCCATCTTTGCAGAGGAAATCATCGTCTTGACGCCTGTGATGACTTCAAGAAAATGTCCCCGCAGAAGCGAATGGAGGTGGTGAAAGGTAAAAGGCTCTGCTTCAACTGCTTGCTGGCAAGTAACCATGTAGCTCGATGGTGCAGGAAGAAGAGCGGTTGTGATAAAGAGGGATGTACCCGACGACATGCCAGTTTGCTGCATGATGCGATGCAGTATGCCACCAGTGTGACAGATCAGAAGGATGCACAGGGTGGAGGTGGAACCAAGGCTGACTCACCAACCGTGGGTGCCAAAAGCTGTGTATGCGGTCCTTCTGAAAGAGAACCAGTGAAGGTAGTCCTGCCCATAGTGACGGTGAATGTCAGAGGTAAAGGCCAACGCAGCTTTGTCCAGACTCATGCACTTCTCGATCCTGGCAGTAACAAAACATTTTGCTCCCAAGCTCTGCTCGACAAGATGGGCCTTGAGGGAGAGAAAACCAACCTGTCCCTTGAAACGCTCAATGATGGAAGCGATGCTGAAGCCTTTCAGGTGGCTTTGGAGGTGACTGGAACCATTGGGAAGATGCGGAAAATGGAGGTCATCCAACTACCGAGAGTGTATGCCCTGGCCAAATTCCCAGAGCTGAAGAGTTGTGTGGCCACATCAGCTGACACAAAACAATGGCAGCACCTTCAAGACATTGACATACCCCGGATGGACGAGACTGAAGTCACCATACTGGTGGGACAAGACGTTCCACAGGCATTGATACCGCTGGAAGTGAGACGAGGCAATGCTGGCGAGCCTTATGCAACGAGAACTGCACTTGGATGGACCGTCAATGGACCGATCGGTGGGGAGCTGCACCATGGGAAGGCTGAGTGCAATTTCATACAAGCATGCGCGAAGCCAGAGGTCAGCCTTGATGCCCAAGTCGAACAGTTCTGGAAGCTCGACACACCCCAAGTGCTGGCAGCAAGCGTTCCTAGTGCTGGCAGCAAGCGTTCCTCAGATGTCTGTCAATGACAAGAAAGCGATTGATGTGTGGGACTGCTCTCTGACTATGGTGACACGCACTATCAGATGGACATCCCCTTCAAGGTTCTGCCCCACAGTTGCCAAATAACAGATCCCTTGCTGAGAAGAGGCTGCAGAGTCTTGGACGACGTCTTGCCAAGAACCCTGAAATGCACGGTAGATACAAGACTGAAATCGAGAATCTACTGGACAAGGGATATGCGGAACGTGTGCTGAGCAGTGACATTGATGCTTCGCCTGGTGGGACCTGGTATTTGCCTCATCATAATGTGGTCAACCCCAACAAGCCTGAGAAACTCCGCATAGTCTTTGACTGTGCTGCTGAATATGCAGGAACATCTCTGAACAAGAATGTTATGCAAGGCCTCGACATGACCAACAAGCTGATTGGCGTATTGGTGAGGTTCAGAGAGCAAAGAGTAGCAGTTATGGGTGATATAGAGGCGATGTTTTACCAGGTCAAGGTGACTCCATCCCACAGAGATGTTCTGAGATTCTTGTGGTGGAGAGATGGAGACATAGCCAACCAGCCTGAAGTCTTCAGAATGGCAGTCCATCTCTTCGGAGGTGTTTGGTGCCCAAGCTGTGCAAGTTATGCTCTCCACAGAACGGCCGAAGACCACAAGGACGAATTTGACCCTGAAGTCATCACCACTGTGATGGAAAACTTCTACGCTGATGACTGCTTGAAGTCAGTGGAGAATGACGAGAAGGCCATGAAGTTGGTGGAACAACTGTGCAAGCTGCTATCTATGGGTGGTTTTCGGCTAACCAAATGGTTGTCAAACAGTCGGAAGCTCATCGAATCCATCCCGCTGGAGGAAAGAGCCAAGAGCGCTAAAGAAGTCGACCTGGACAATGGATTACTACCTGTTGAGAGAGCTCTTGGAGTGCACTGGGATACACACACGGATGTTCTTGGTATCAAAATAAAGCCAAAAGAGAAGGGTTACACCAGAAGAGGTCTTCTGAGCATCGTGAGTTCTGTATATGATCCACTTGGATTCGTGTGCCCATTTGTGCTCCAAGCAAAGAAGATATTCCAAGATGAGTGCAAGAGAGGAAAAGACTGGGATGACGAACTAGAGCCAGGAAACCTTGAGCAGTGGATGAAGTGGCTGCAGGGTCTACCCAAGCTGGAAGAATTCAGTGTTCCCAGGTGTATCGTACCTCGAGAGTTTGGGACACCCACCAGTGTACAGCTACATCACTTCTGCGATGTGTCTATGGTTGCTTATGGAGCAGTATCGTACATCAGGCTGGTAGACAACCGGGGACATATCCACACCTCATTCTTGATGGGAAAATCAAGACTGGCTCCCATGAAGTCGATGACCATTCCACGACTTGAGCTCTCGGCAGCAGTCATGGCAGTGCGGATGGACAGTATTCTGCAACGTGAAATGAGGCTGGAGGTTCAGAGTACCACATTTTGGACTGATAGCCAGATTGTCTTGCAATACATCAAGAATACCTCGAAGAGATTCCAGACCTTCGTCACCAACAGAGTGAATGTCATTCACGATGGTTCGCTGCCAGCTCAATGGAGGTATGTGGATACACGCTCTAACCCAGCAGATGACGCCTCCAGAGGGCTTGATGCCAAGCAGATTTTATGCCAACCAAGATGGAAACAGGGTCCGGCGTTCCTGTCAGCAGATGAGACAGCTTGGTCAGTGGAGCCTGAAGCAAGTCCGGACCTGCTCCAAGATGACAAGGAAGTCAAGCATGAGGCAAAGACCTGTGCTGTTGAGGCAGTTGCCCCAGACGATCTCATCAACACACTGCTGAAGAGGTATTCGAGCTGGCTTCGCTTGAAGAAGACAGTGGCGTGGTTGTTGCGTTTCAAGGCGTGGCTCCGCAATCACAGACAGCAGGAACCGGAAGTGTCCTTACAGGTTCACGACTTACAGGCAGCTGAGAAGGCAATCATTGCACACCTGCAGGAGAAGCACTTTGGTGAGGAAGTGCGTGCTTTGAAAACAAACGGGACCATTTCCAGGAAGAGCGCCGTATACAGCCTGGACCCTGTGGTGGATGATGATGGTCTGCTGCGAGTTGGAGGGAGGTTAAAGATGGCGCCACTCACAGAACAAGCAAAGCACCCACTGATAGTACCCAGAGAACACCATGTAACTGAGCTCATCATCAGACACTACCATGAGAGGAAGTCAGCACACTCGGGGAGGGAGTATGTGCTGTGCCTGACGAGGGAGCGCTTTTGGATTCCTAGAGCGCGCCCACTCATCAACAGAGTACTTCGTGACTGTGTTGTCTGCAGGAGGATCAGAGGAAAAACATGTGCCCAGAGAATGGCTGACCTACCTAAAGGCGTCTGGGAACGCCAAATCAGAACAGTACGCAAGGTCATCAACTCTCTGCTCAAGGACCAAGTGCTGGATGATGAGCGATTGGATACCTTATTTTGTGAGGTGGAATCCGTTGTGAATGGACGCCCAGTCACTCCTGTCTCCGATAGTCCCGATGATGCAGAAACTCTGACCCCAAACCACCTGCTGCTGCTCAGAGCTGGCCAGCCTGCACCTACAGGGAACTTCATCAAGCAGGATGCGTATGGACGGCGCTGGAGACATGTGCAGCTGCTTGCAGATCAGTTCTGGAAGCGCTGGATACGCGAGTATCTCCCAACTCTACAGCTGAGGAGAAAGTGGATAGATCCCCAGAGGAACGTGGTCGCAGGAGACACTGTACTGATCATGGAGGAGACTACACCAAGGAGGAACTGGCCCTTGGGACTCATCACGAGGACATTTCCAGGCAAGGATGGACTTGTGAGGACGGCTGAGGTGAAGACTCGCCAGAACATTGTGGTCAGACCTGTCGACAAGCTCTGCCTGCTTGAGTCAGCTGACTGAGATTTTAAACAATCAGGATTGAAGGCTAGAATAATGCCTCCTGATTGGGAGTGTACGACATGCTCTGCTCTTAAAATCTCAGTATTCACCAGGTTTTTGCTACTCTGCCACAAAGCCCAAGAGACAGTTTACATTTTGATTTATCTTAATTTTGTGAGATATAATGTTCGGAACCAGTTGACAGATGTCTTTAAACTTTGATCTCAAATGTATATGTAGTTTATGTATTGCCAGAGAGTCGGTGGTACTTAAGTTTTGTATGTTTATTGTTTAAGTATTTGTTAATGTTCACTTGTTAATGTTCGCATTTAAGGGGTCGGGATGTTCCGGACGAAAATTTATGAATGAGCGTTTGTTAACAATCTTGTAAGTGTCGATGGAGGGCGCTGTTTTCCAGTAACCAAGCAACGTACGGAAGTGAAACGAGACATGTCGCTTGTGAGTTTGTGAAGAATTATTGTCAGAAATCACTTCGTTTCTGGAGAAATGTAGTTATTTGAGGCCACAAACCTAGGTGATAATTGCTTCCACGGCCTGCTGAGTAAGGATCACTTTGATTAAGCTGTGTAAGAACTGCCATTTGGTTTTGTACTGGTCGCTTTGTCGTCGCTTACATGTAATCTGCAAATCACATATTCGGGGGGATATTCGCTTGTCGTTATAATTATCGTTGGATCATTCTTGTGTTGTTTGACTGTTAAATATTTCGAAGGTTCATCGTACTACATTGTCGCGTGACTGTATGCATGGCCACCTAAGTGTCTTGTTGACTAGTACAGCAAACTACAGAGTGTATAACATTTGCAGTGTACGACTTTGGAGGCATTTCATGTACTGTGCGATATTGGAGATCATCACTGTGTGAGCATTATCTTTTAACAGATGTGAGAATTACATGTAACTGTGCCAATGCTCTGGAGATAAAGATTACTCACAATCCTGACAGTTTGTTGAATAAATGATGAACATAAGACATATGTGTGTTTGCAGTAAACTGTTAAACAAGCGCCACTAACAGACAGTGGTCGTTAGTGAATTTACACAGCCTAAATCCCCCACACATGGCTTATACAGTTCATGAATCATGAGTCATGAGTTATGGAACGCGGGTCGTGCAAGTAGTGAAATCATTTCTAATATTACATGTAGGCCTACTCTTCTTTTGATGAGTTATATCCGTACAAATTGTAGTGTTTGCAATCCGTTTGTATGCTTCTTCGACGAGACGGTTCCTCTTGCTACACGACAACCGATGCCCAACTGCTCATCCTTCGCTCACAGTGTGCCAACAAACTGGTCAGAGCCGTCTTTTGATTTTTTTTTTATATTGGCATCAATACTTCTGAACTAGCATTTGAAATGATACTTTGATAAACGAGCGACGATTTCTTTGGGGGGGGCAGGGACGGGGGGGGGGGGGCAATGGCTTGACTATCGATGCGTTGGGTGTTGGGGGGGGGGGGGCTGGAAGCTTCCTTTATCCTCGGGAGTGCTGTTTAAACTTGAATGTACATACAACATACACATGTACTCATGTAAATGTATTCATGAATGGGCGTGATAACGTCAGCCGGTGAAAATATCTATTCGTTTGTACACCGCTTTTTATCGGTTGCTTCATGTGTGCGTTAGGCCTACCACTCAGGACTCAAGACTCATTGAATTTCAAGAAAATGGGTCATGTATCTATATTAACACAATGTACAAACATTTACGTATTCACCGGGCGATGGGGCCGTGCCGCCCCCCCCCCCTCTTTCCCGGCGAGCAATTGACCCCCACCGGCAGAAAAAAGCATGTTTTAATACATACTTATGTATTTGTTTTTCATTGTAGTGTGCCCCCCCCCTATAGTTAGTGCTATGGCCCCTATAATGCCCGGAGCTGTTGACGGCGCGGGGGATGTCAAAGGGGTCCAAACTCGTACCCCCTTGGTCCGCAAAAATAGGAAAATCATGCAGGAAAAAAGTAGCCATGCCTGCTACCCCCTGACAGCTAACCCCGCCCCCCTTTGAGCCAATTTTGGATCCGCCCCTGTAAAGTTGTACAAATAAATACAACATTTGCAAACATCAAAAAATAAAACTACCAAATCATTTTGAAAAACCTTGCTGGACTGTTAGTGAATGACAGTGTAAAGTATCCTGTAAAATCATGGCACCTGGTATACTGTCATTTTCAAGAAAAGTGGTATTTTTGTATCAATTTCCAACGCTGATCGGCCGACCAGCGTTGGAAAAAGCTGGCTTTTTTCAAATACTGGCCCCAGTTGACCATCGCACTTGTTTGCAATCGATTACACACCTATGAACGGGTACAAGCCAGCTAGACTGGTTCCCTGACCTTACAATTCCCCAATATATGTAAACTGCTCTGTTTCTTCTTAAATGGAGTCAGGGAACCAGACTACAGGAAAATGATTGTTTTTCTTGGTTTTTATAACATTTTCGAACCCAAAACCTAAAAAAAGTCAGTGTAACTATATTTGCTATATATTTCAAACCCCCCAATTCCATCCATTTCTGAAAATTACAGCAAAAGCAAATGATGTATATTCCCTTTAAGACATGAAGAAGATTGAGGTAACATTGGGATATATTAATGGTGCATCGCCATTGGTGTCCCCTGCCCAATGTTATTGGGGGTGGAGTGTGTGTGTGTGTGTGTGAAGGGGGGGGGGAGACATGCTCCTCGCCCTCCCGAACTCGCCGCCCTTGGTTTGAATGAAATTGATAGTTAGTATTTTTTTAGCTGTTTAAACGAAAATGTAAATCATTTGCAATTCAGCCCTTGGCTGCGATTCATGATGCTTTATAATAAACCAATTTGAATTGAATTGAATAGTTCCATTCCAAAGGTAAGATTTAGTCATTATCACAGTGTAACTAATTAACAAGGAAAACTTGGTATGGTATATTTATTCATATTATCACATTGTGACCCAAAGGTCAAAGTGCATGATAATGTACAATATTCAAAAACATCAAAATCACGGTAAACATGAATTAAACAAATACATACAGAGAAATAACCCATATAAGTAGGTCAAGAATCAAGACTAATAAAATTAGTACATTGCACATACACATATAGATTTGTCTGCCTCAAATCTTAAAAAAGAAATCTCACCAATGGAAGTCATGTACTTCCTCCCATTATACCATCATGCACAACATAAATTATTCAAATTTATGATTATGAATACAAATCTAGTTTACAGAAAGTCCCATTTAAATTTGTGATAAAGCCGAGCTTGTCTTCCACATTTCGTGATGATGGCAGTTAACATCTTAACTTCGTTCCGTGAAGGTAACGACACATCTTTACTCTTTGTTTAAAAAAAGCAAAATATCACAGGTCTTTTTCTTCTGAAAATCATCACGCATGTTTGTAAATTAGGTTGTCTTTTACAGGGATATTCTCAAGCAGCAATACAGGATGCCGAAAACGGTACGTGCAAAATTGTTGTTTCAAACTGATAAAGCAATTAAAATTCTACAAAATTGAAATATAAATAGAAACAATTGTTACTGAAAGGCATATAATCATTTGCATTGATCTCAAAAGTAATCTACTGAATAATCAAAAAGCTTACTTGAAGCTTGTATCGGTACTAAACAACCCGTGAAATTATTCCGTCTGGCGTGCTGTTAATTGTGAGAAATAAGAAATGAGAAATGTAGGTGATTTCCAACGACCAGTCTTTTAACTGATTTGGGGAAATGCTATGGAAGGAATCGTGTTTCGACATCAAAAGGTTGTCATTGCTTTTCACTGTTTTCTCGAAATGTGTAATACTATCCGCCGAACTGAAACTTCAAAGTGTGTTTTTTTTTGGTAACGAGCAAAAAGCAATAGATTCGATATGCCTTTAACATTCAAACAAAGATAATACTCCAACTCGCGGTCAGTGTCAACAGTGAACTTTTTCTTGAAAAAATAAAGTGGTTTTGTTACAGATATCTGCCCTTGCAGTGTAAGAAAACTAATTGATCAATGCATACGATGAATGTAATCACTTTGTAATTAACAAAAGGCAGTTTTCAGATTGTAAGTAACGTCTTTGCAATGCTTCACACTTTTTACGTCGTCTTCTCAGTCTGGCGATCTAAAACAAAAACAAAACAGAAACATAAAAACACGACAAAAGATTAGTTCCTATCCGAAACAAGGTAACCGGGTGTTGGAAGGGTTCACGGAAGAAAAATTTAGTTGCATTAAATTCATCTTATTATAGTTGTGGTCCTAACAATTCGACTGTTACTAAACTATGTAGCTTTGTATATCAACGGATACTCCATCCCTGCCAGGGTCGAGTTAGTCAAAGCCAAGTACGCATTTGCCTGTGCAGAAGGGGGTCAATGTCTGGTGGAATTCCAAGAATTCTTGCTCTATCAAGTCCCACAAAAGGTAAGACGGTGAAAATAAACTTAAACCTATCCTTTTTCTTTCAGAGAAAATTTCCTTCAAAACAGATATTTCAATGGCAGTTTTTTTCTTTCGATTAATGGGCCAAATACATGAAGGCCTATAGAAAATGATGTAATTTTGTATTTCTGTTTTTCTTAGTGTAGATTTGGGGAGAAGTGGAGTTTCCAGATTGACTCTTCTTGTGTTATTTTGTTTTTGAAGAAAAAGCATTGATTTTATGTCTTGTGTCCTGGGCTTTCAGACGGTGATATAATCTCCATACAGCCTTCACCTTTTAGACGAAAAATTTCATGAAAAAACAACAACAAAAATTAGTGGGTTTTTTTTGTATAATGTACAGGTTAAAGAAAATCCAGAAGTGGGGAATATCATACGACAGTTTGAAGCCGCCTTGGACCCCATGGCTTCGATGCCTCCGACCAGTAGGGCAACCACTGCCAACCAAGCGGCCCTCTGTCTCGAAACACCTGCGCCGAATTTGACTCCATTTCACAAAGAAAACAGTGCTGAGAACAACTCGGTAAAAGGACTAGATATGTAGAAATCTATACTCATGATGTTCGGGGTTTAATTCAATTTGACAATTTTCCAAATCAATCTTTCGTGTCAATAAATGTATTGTATCATACTGTATCAAGTAGATATTGTGGAAAGCTTAATACTGTATGATGTAGTGGAAGCCTTTAAATTTTTGTTTTTGTTAGAAAATCATTCATAAAGATAAACAAAAATTCAAAAGAAACAAAATGGCAAGAATTTACATTGTCCATATTGGTGATTCTGAAAAGGGCAACACTCTCGACTTGTCGGGTTAACATAAGAAACGTTAACAGCAATTGAATATGAGCTTATTTTCCTTACTTTTTATAATCACATCGGCATGATTAACCTATCCGTTGAGTCAAGATTCGTGTTTTTTTTTAGATCAAGTATGCTCTTGCTTTAAAATTTGCGTTTAGGCCTCAGAAGTCATGCTGAAATTAAAGGTGACCCCTCGTTATTCACTTTGTCTTAAACACGGTTTCTATTGTAGGAAAACAGTGACATGTCATGCAGACGAAAAGAAAGAGGACAAGTGGGATGTACAACCGTTGGCACACATCCACACTCTGAAAAGAACACAACGAATGGTGAGTCAGTCTTTGGATTTTCATTTTTTTCCACTTCAAATCTGCTCGAACCACCACGAAATGGCCAGTTAATTTGAATTGTTAATGGCCTTTAAATGGTGATCTTTCAATAGTTTCCTGAACTATTTTAAAAGATATACTGTTGGTTTTTCTCCATGAAACAGTGAATAATGATTCGATTGGATTTCTCTTACAGAGTTGTCACAAGTCACCCCACCACCGCTATCACCATCACCACCAGCAACATCAACACCACAGCAACCTTTACCTCCCCCTCCAGCAGTATCAGCGCCACCCCCACCACTACCATCACCGCCACCACCACCATCTTTGCCCCAAACAGCTCTTTCTTCACCACCTTTATCATCACCGACCCAATCATTACCGTCTCCTCGTTGCTCTGAGCTGGAAAATAGCGCCACACCACAGAGCAAAACACAGACTCCGACAGCGGCCGACGAGGAGACCAACAAGGATTCACTAGTTTCACCACCAGAGATTGCTACATCTGAACCGGCGGAGATTTCCAAGACAGCAAATGACTTGGGCTGTAGCCAGGAAGGAGAATTCCAAATCGTTCAATCAAGTGTCAAGTAAGGATAAAACACAGAACGTGGTAGCTGTAGGCTATGCGTTTGCTTGTCGTATGCTATAGTATTGAGTACTGAATGTTTGGAGTGTCCCATTAATAAGGGTTCATTTCATGAAACTGGTAGCACAATTTACAAATGAAAATGTTAAACTGCATTTAGGAAGGTTTCATATAAATTAAAATGTGATCGAAGTCATTACACATTGTCTAAAAATGGACTTCCATAATGATTTATGTACTTGTGGCTAAATTGAGAACTTGGTTAATATACTCCCGATCTTTTTTGTTTAGGAAAAAGAAACTTCCCTATGCAAAAGCAGCGAGTATCGCCGCCGCCTCTATTCCCATCTTCAACCCTCTCCCGCTGTACGTGTGTGGAGAGTGCTTCGCAACCAAAAAATCCAAGTTGGTTTTGAAAAGGAAAGGCAGCGATCCCGCAGTTTGCGCTGGCCCAGGTTCCCACAACTGGCGGCAGGGCAAAGTAGCTGTGATGTACTCGAAAGAGAAGAAGGCCTGGTTTGAGGTGAAGCCAAGAGATCCTAGGCTAGGATCCAAAATCCTACCAAAGGTGTGTCTATCGGGGGATACTTGCCCGCGTACTAACTGCATGTTTCCACATATCAAAGAAGAAATGCAACTCTGGCAGTACATGTGGACACACCAATGTGAGTATAAAAGTTTACTGGTCACGTTAGACTATATTTCAAAATAGCATGAATAGCAGCTGAAGTTTATCTCCTTCGTGCGGAAATCAATATTGAGAATGCATTTTATATGAGGGGGTAAAATCCATAAATGGACTTGTAGGAGTTTAGGAAGGTTATAGAATCCTCTGTCCTGCAAAAGAGTAAATAAAATGATACCCATACTTTGCAGGCCCTGTTTTGGATTTAACTGTGATCGGAGTCGTACTAGCCTCTGACAGGCGAAATTGGAACTGCTTTCTTTTCGTTTTGTTTCGGTTTTCTAACTCGCAACCTATACAAGACCTCACGGACAATTCAAAGATGGGTAAACTATACAGTGGGTAAATAACATTTGATATCGTGTCTGGTCTTCAGTAAAGTGTTAATGTTTGTCTTTAAATGCTGCCTCCTGTATTCAGTGCAAACGTTGGATGAAGTCTTGTCAGCAAGAAAAGGAACACCACAAGAGACGAAGAACAAGCCAACGACGACATCTTCACTAGCTGCACAACCGTCAGTTTCCCATCAATCCATCCCATCTAAAAGACAAAAAGAAACTGTCCCCATCGCCGCTACAGAACCTGCTATCCCGAGTTTTAAGCATGCCATGAAGTATATCTGCGGTCAATGTTTTACACTCTACGGTGATGAGCAAGTGGGGCGAGCTGACAGTAATTCACCCAAATGTGCTGGTGCACTTCCCCACTTGTGGGAACCAAGCAAGGTGGTAGTAATGTACTCAAAGGCAAAGAAAGCTTGGTGTAAAGTCATGCCAAGACATCCCAAATTAAGGGCATCGGTCCAACCTGTATTGTGTCAGCACAGTGGAGCTTGTCCACGACCCAACTGCATGTTTCCACGCATCAAGGAAGAATTTGATTTGCGGGTGTACATGGCCAAGTACAAATGTGAGTACAGAAATGTCGGTAAAAATGATTAAGAAAGCCTTTGCACACTATTTAAGATTAACATTCTCAACTGAACTATTGTTAAGGTTCTTTTAAGGTGGCGATCCGAAAAAATGATTATCGGAGATGTTCCATATGGTAAGCCATGACCCATCTAATAAACGTTTGTGCACGCTTGTTCTCATATTTCTTTTGCAGTGACGACCCTCGATGACGTCATGCCATTTCTGAAGCAAGTAACTTCTCCTCAGTTACACTCGTCCGCAAAAGCTCGACCAGTCCAGCAACAAACAAGTGCCTCTACTGCTGACATCGTGCCAGCAAGAATCCATCAACTAGCAGCGGCAACCAGGGAAAAGCCTGAAAGAAATTCCTCCGCTGCTTTCAAGTCATCAGCCTGTAAGAAACCCCTGCAAACTGATGGTTATTGTGGTTGACTTAGCTGATTTGTGCCGAAATGGCTGCATCGAGCTGTATTCTCCCCAGGGAGCTGATATGGTATTTTGAATGTTTCATTGGCCCAATGAGCAGGGGTAATAATAAGCGCCTTGTGTTCTTTGGCAATTTGGCGTTTTTTTAGTCCAGTTAATATTTTTATTATGACTTTTTATAATCCACCCAATCCAACCGATCCAAAAGGTTATCCACTCTTTCCAAAAGTTTCCTCATATCGTCAGTAACTAGTGCTGTGGGCTTCATCAGACCAGACACTGGGAATGGAGGGTTAAAAACTGGCGACGCTCGTTACTCTATTTCGGTCTGTACTTAACTCAGAACATTATTCATGTTGATTATTATCTTGATTGTTCCCACAGTTTCTAGGCCAACATCATCTTCATCAGAAAAGTGGTTACAGCAAGGGGCTAGGCCAAAGAAATCAAGCAACAAGACAGAAAGTGTACCTTCTCCAAGTGTTCCTAAAAAATCTAAGAAACAAACTGGCAAGGCCCCCAAACGAACCGAAGTAGAACCTCAAGCAGCTTGTGTAAGGTAAGGATGTGATTACGATCAATGGGTAATTATTGAAACGGTCTCATCGCAATTAAAAAATATATATGGGGGTAATGTTCTCTTCAGTCTTCCATCACTGCCTTACACAGCAAGCTCCCTCACTTAAGGCCTCTAGCCTCCTTTTAAAATCCACCAGCGTACCTAGAAATAATTAGTAGGCCTAAGTCTGTTCACCGATGATGAGACCGTTGGAGTGGCGTTGTGGCATGATTGATATATATAAAGAAATATATAAAATTGTCACCCGTGCAAATTTCAGCCTCGAAAAGACCAGACGTTCTAAGAAGACAAAAGATCAGTGCCCTTCTTCCAAATTAGCATCAGAAAATCTCGCATCTCTTCCAATCTGCCACTGTGACATCAAACACGTGTGTGAGATATGTTATTCACGAGGTGATGTAGTTGAACAACGATTAGGGAGCAAGCCACTGGTGTGTGCCGGCTCATCAGGCCCACACGACTGGAAGAGATGCAGGATGGTTGTTGTATACTCCAGTGAGAAGAAGAAATGGCGTAAAGTGCGACGGAGGCATGCGAACGCACCCCCTATTCCGACACTTTGTACATCTGGCGATGCTTGCACGCGTTGGGGAGAATGTCGGTTTCCACACTTCAAAGAAGAGAAAGACCTGTGGATCTATACGGGTAGACACAAACGTGAGTCTTACAACAGTATTGTGGTAAACTCTAACTAATTCTTTAATGACGAATGACAATGTTATTTGTTTATTAGCTGCACACGAACCTCGTTGCTTGTCAGAACCTTTTTCGAAACATTCCATAATAGAGGGCTTGACATTTTTTGTCAAAGCAGGGTCTTTTACAAAGGTATCTTTTCTAAAAGATGAGAGCCTTAATGCCACACCCTCTTACTGATACAATATATATATAAGAAGTTGCAGCAAGTTTGTATTTCCTACGAGAGAATTTTGTTATACCACAGACTAAATTATTCAAGACACTATGCACTCCGTGCACTAGTACCCATTTAACAACCAGAAAAGGACAGTTGGGGAGACCTTGACTGGTTCCTGGTCCATCCACTGCATATTTTGAATGATCCAAAGTAATTGGCGGCGGGGATAAGTGTTGGAGACCATCGAAAGATAAATTGGACCGCATTCGCGCCCCTACGACGCCTGACGCTCACGCGAAGACACTGTGGCTAATAGCTTTGGCATATTCAGGAAGTCACCCGTACTTCACGCACGAACCACTACAGTACACTACGCACACGCTGTGTGTCCCTCTTTTGTTGGTGCTCGGAGCCCATAGGCTATGCAAGGGGTGCATACCGATGTTCCCCAATACCGATGTTGCCCGAAATCCCTACCAAAATAACCCTAACCCTAGCCCTATCCCTAGCCCTAACCCTAGCCCTAACCCTAATCCTAAGGATTTGGGGGAACATCGGTAGTGGGGAACATCGGTATTGGGGAACATCGAGTAGATCCCTATGCAAGTCGACATCTAATTTTTGTAATCTATGTCCTTGTTGGATTGAATTGTCTTTGGAAGAAGAATCCTGAATAATCCTGAAGAACACGTGTTATCGAGGGGAAAAAAATAAGTATTTCCCTAGTTGTAGAAGTAACTTTACTGTTGTTACTCTTGGTGTTGTTTACTTTGCAAATTTTGCTTTATTTTTTTTTTTCAGTCACAAATTTAGATGAAGTAGTGTTCGCCGGGCGTGCATCCTCTGACGTCACGTCAGAAACACTCCCATCTAAGTCGCAGCATGACAAACGACCCCCTCAACCTCAGTATTGCTGCACGTACTGCGATAAATCTTACCTGCACCAATGGCAGCTTCATCAGCACATCCAAACCATGGATCATTGGTCAAAGGTCAACTCAGACGAAGACAAGAAAGACCAGTGGAAGCATCGCAGCCCGCCCTGGAATGTCGTCAACGGAGATTACCAAGAATGTTCAGAGTTAGTCACCAATTTGACGTTTTGGAACTTTTATAATGAAAATTAATACAATCTTTTTAAATATCGGGACAATTATTGGAGGAGTCGTCGCTGGGCGCTTGCCAAAGATTAAGTAAATCGTAACTTGATTTTAAAATCGTCTTGATAAGTGAAAATAGTTATGTAGTCAATTACATTTTTATTGACTATCTTGGTCCTCTAGGAATAATAATGGTAGATGCGTGTTCACCGACTGCACCAAAGCGCATAGTGCCGAAGAGCTGGAGGAATGGAAGGAAAGACATCGGTATCGAATGATGAAAGTGAAGAAAGCCAAGGAGTGCAAGTTGTACGCATTCATGGACGAAGTTCTCGTTAAGTTCAACTTCTCTGCCTCACAAGGGAAGGACGTGGTAGGACAGTATCTCATTCTACAGGCAAATTCCACCTTATATACATCGAATGTATGGAAACAAAGATACGTCCATTGAAGCGAAAATAGGCTGTTACCCAGTCCATTATCAGAGATGAAACCTTTCAGATTTTAATCTGAAATCAGATTTTAAAAACTGTTCCAAAGAAGTTTCAGATTTTTTAACGATCCCACAAAAATGATTATTTAAAAAATTTTCCACAAAATGTTTTTTTAAATTATAATTTCCAAGAAAAGTCGATGAAAATGGCATGTCAAAAACGTGCAGAAGTGTAAAACACCTAGACCAACGCTGATCAGATCCCTTACCCCTTGGAGAAAAGATTAAATACTGCCCCATGACATTGATGCGCTGTGCTGCGCTGCACCGCGCGACGCTGTGGCAGCTTGGACCCTGTGGCAGCTCGGACCCAAGGTCTAATTTCAGATTATTTTTTTGCTAAGGCCAGTTTCATCTCTGCATTATATTTTGGACACTGAAAGAGGGGACGATAAATATAGGCCAGCGAGCACACTTTTTACGTGCGTGAACAATGGAAACTAATTATGAGACTCCCAAAAATGTGCATAAATTTGTTCTGTTTTCACAAATGTGTAGTAGCCACTGAGCTACAACTTCCACATGTTAGTTGTAGTATAGAAATGTTCTTGCGGAGACGTATACAATCTTTTGTTTCCTATTGTGTGCATATCTCCTTAAGGTAGTAAATTCCAGCACACGTAGACACACCCACACACCCACCCAGACTTACGTTACATACCTTGTGTGGACATTGCTTTGTTTTCGTGTAGTTAAGAAAACTCGGTACAAAAAATAACTTTACTTAAACTGTGAAAACTCTTTTAACCCAATTATTTTTCTAGGATTCCCTATAGTGTTTCTCTTCATTCTGCTACAAATAAACCTAACCCAAAAATGCCTCTAAACCTGTTTTCCAGAAAGGGCAAAACCTTATGTGGACACGGCTTAGTCCACATAAGGTTAACACAACCTGCATTATGTGGACCTCTTTTGTTCACAAGTTCACATAGGGTATGTAACACAAACTCACGCTTACATAGGCATGAAGTGGGGTACTCCCTTTGTTCTCGTGTACTAAAATTTTGCAACGTCGCACACTTATGTCAAAATGCTCTTATTTTAACCATAGTTAATTTCCTGGGCTGAAATTCGGACTTAATATCCCTTTTCTAAAACTCTTCCATTTGCGACGGATCAACGCACCTTGGAAATTCCTAGTTTCTGAGTAAAATCCGTACATTTATTTCGTGAAAAACTTGTGGGGTACCAAAACGGTACCCCGCAAGTCGGTGGGCATTCCTTTTGGGGCACCTCCCATTGGACAGGTGTAGCATGAATTTAGGTTTTATGAAATACGGACTCGTCGGTGTTATTGCGCATGCTCATGCATAGATAATTAGGAGAGGGACCTGTCATGTGAGAGGGTTTAACCAATAAAGGGAAAAAGAGTCCGATTTTCATATGAGTCCGATTTTCATGTGACACCGGTACCCCACAAGGCAGTGTTTGTACACGCACCCACACACACCCTTCAATGGTGAAAGCATTGCAAGATATTGTGCTAAATAGCCACTACCTATGACAGATTAAGTTAACATAGCTAGCACAATGTTTTCGCCATTGAAGGGGGCCTTTGCGATAGAATTGACGGCGTGCCTGGATTGGTCTACGCCGGTTTATTATGGTAACTGTTGGAAAATTCGTAGCCATGATTTTATGATTCTTCGCAGATTGCAGAGCGCTTACCTGGAGTCCGCATTGACTGTTCTGAGGATCTCGTCCAGTTTCTAGATGCAGAGAGGAAGGACAGGGACTCGGCATACACGTGTGCCTGGTCATTTGCCCTTGACCTCAAGGTCTCAGAAAATGTAATTGGAGAAAAAATAACAGTTAAATGCATTCACCCTCATTGATGACGTTGTGAATAAATTGCTCCAGTGAATTTATGTCTGAGTAAGGGTAGACGAAGAAGAACGACGGGACATTTAACGCTAATTTAGATAGAGTGATATCATTTTGTTCATGAACTTCACAGTACAAATCGACTGAGTAAGTCTGTAATTTTTTTAATGAATGACTAGGCATCAGCAAGCTTAACTTAAATTGTTTGTTTTATGAAATAGATATTCCTGAAGCGTGTGTGCTTGTTCTACGACGACAACAGACTCTACTTCAGGTTGTCCCAGCCTGCTAATGAAAGCGAGGCTCAGGTGTGTCCTGGCAACCTGATTGTAGAGGAGGACAGGAGGTCATATCGGATTGACGTCATCTTTCGCTCTCAGGTCCTCGGTCGCTTCTCCCAGTGGGTCCTCTTTGACCTGGGTACTGAACCGTATCTTGTCCAGAAACTTCAGGTATGTTGTGCTGTTTGTTTTTCAAACTGTGGGTCAGATTTGACCTGACCCTCTTCTGGGTCAAATGACAGTTTGTCGTGTAAAAAATGTAACTTTTGTTGTCACATAATCAATTTCTTTTGTGTCAACATCACACTTTTCCGGGTTGTAAACGATAAAAAGAAGTTACTCAGAGAAGTGTCATTTTGACAATGAAAAGTGTCAGCTCAAATCTGACCCGGGACTTGTTAGAGTGTAAAATGTTTGATCTGTCCCGTGTTGATTTGTAATTCATATTTGTAACAAATACTTTGTATTGTTTCAGTGTTCCCTTTTTCCTTACCATAACAAAATATTTTGAAAATGAAGTTAACGTACAATGTAATTGTTAAATTAAAAAGTTGAAATTGAGTCGTTTGCTTTAAGGTTCTATTGTCAAAATGCTGTGTTGATCGGCGATTAACTTAAGCCGTATATGCAACCAAATACTTCATGTTTTGTAGTTATTTATAAATAAACATATTATCTACCAAAAACGATGAGACTTTTACGAAGTGTCCGGATAGAAATCCAGATTGAGGCCAACTTCCCAAATCATTTTCTTCAGGTCCTGGTTGGATTGCACACACCGCACGACAAATCCGATGAGATAAGTGGGGAAAAGAAGACATTTGAGCCGTGGACTGACAGGAACTCGGATATTGTCAGATTCTCCAAAGGCGACCGACAACCTTCAACTAGTAAAGAGCAGCTGCTCAACGACTATGAAGTACCAACGCCACTCGGTATTGAAGATCTAGGGGAGTTGAGCCGGGACAACTACAGAGAGTACATGCACACAATGCTGTACTTGGAGGAACAGGAGTATAATATCAAGATATCAAAGTGAGTGAATGAGATGGGCATTCGTCTTATTTAGAAGTGTTAAGAAGCCAGGGCATTTAGTGGTACCCATTGAGCCACAGATGAGTAACAGAAAGAGAGAGAAAATAGTAAACCTTAAAACGGTAATAAAGGAGTAGAGACTTACGAGATGAGTCAACGAAGAAAAATGAACATTTTGTTAAGAATGCAAAATATTTTGTATATAAGTCGCTAATAATTATCTGCACTGTTTCTCTATCTGGATAAAAAAGGTTTGCCTCGGAGGGCAGATTAGAATGTTTCGAACAAAGCCTGTTTGGCAAGGTTGATTTGAAGAGTGCACTGATGGACGACTCGGAGATCGCTCAAATCATGGAGATAAACTTGCGCAAGATAATGATGCTGAAATTCCCAAACTCGGAGAAGGTAGGAGAAAATACATTTGTTTCTTAAGTTTCTGTTGTATACTGAAACGATTACGAAATGATTTTTAAGCTGTCCCACTTTTAAAACGGTTTTACCAAATCTCTGTTTGGCGAAATAAACGTTCGGCAAAGTGTACCTCTCCTTTGCGTCACTGACACTGGTCACTGATCGCGAACAATGCGTCTGTATCTGACGATACCCTCATAAAAAGTCACAGTTACACTCATACAACACGGTGCATACAATGTGAAAACAGTGTGAGTACACCGTCGAGTACCTACACTGTATTTTGTTACATTGTAGTAATTATGTGAACATAGTCTCTGCACACTAAAATTGTCAGGTTTGGCTTGGGCCATGTAGCCACAATGATTAACACTGATAACCCGAGAACACAGTATAAAAATTCATTCATAAATACCTAAGACAGTTTACCTATTCCTATTGGTCGAGAGCCCGTCACGTGGCCGGTCTTAAACGGATGATAAATACATGGCTAGCTGGTCTTAAACACTTTTCCAGTGTCACATGAAATTTGACTCCTAAAAATCCAGTGCCTCTTACCGTTTCATTGGTTGAACGTTCACAATCCCCACGTAGGCATGCGCAATTGACCTATCGCTGTTTGCGAGTTAGCCACGCCCCGTAGACAACAAGCCTATGGAATTCGTGTACGCTAAGTTGTGTTTGTCTCATATTGCGCGTTCTGCGTCTAATTGTATAGTATGTAATTATACAAATATTGAGTGGCTCAGAGTGATATGGGAGAAATATTATCTCTCGGTAAAATCTGGACTTTTCTGGACTGGAAAACTCCAGATTTTACCGAGCGATAATATTCCTCCCATTTCACAGTTTAAAGCCACTCAAAATTTGTTTTATATAACTGACATAATTATAAATCCTTGTCATTTGATATGCTTCATCTTTTATTTCAATACAAGATTGGTGGAAAATGTTGTTCTCTCTTCCAAACCACCCCTTCGCGAAAATGTTTGAACCCAACTCCGTAGCCTGACCACTGATCTCTATATAAAGACTGGCTAGCGGATATCTATACATCAGTCACACATTAGCCTTTGCATATTGACCTTTTCACTCCCGGTCTCACGAAGATGGCCCCGGTCTCACTGACCTTGGTCAGTGGTGGTGGTCAAAATTTAAGTCAAGTGAATCGCGATGGTACAAAAGAAATCATGCTGTCTATAAAGACGGCAACTTGTCCTTTGTAGATCACCAGCATGTCTCACTGGTCTCACCAATATGGCGTCAATTCATTCATTGTGTGGGTCTTTATCCGCTATCCAGTCTTTATATAGAGATCAGTGAGCCTGACTCTTACAACACGCACTATACGCACAACGCTGGACGCGCACACCAGCATACTTTTGCACACAAATACTGCGTCATGGAACAAGCATCGATCCTATGTAACTGTTCAATAATATACAAATATAACATGGTTTGAGGGTGGACAGTCGATATTCGCTCCCCGAGGTATTGGAAGTTGACTAGTTTGACTAGGGAACTAGTTTGTCAACTTCCAATACCGAGGGGAGCTAATATCGACTGTCCACCCGAAATAAACCATGTTATATTTGTTTTACTATACCTCATACATATTCAGTTGACATTTTTTTTTTATAGTTGTAAATACAGTTGTTTGACGTGTACAACTTTCTTTTGTACACTTTCTCCAGTACGGCATCATTGAGCTCTGGAAATTAACATTTACGCGAACTGTACAACCATGCATGGCGCTCCCTCCTGGGCGGTGTTCGCGCGTGCGTACTGCACCCGTGCGACAGTTCTCGATTGCTCTGTAAAGCGCATGCGTAGTAGACTGTCGCACGGGTAACTCATGCGACAGTCTACTACGCACGCGAGAATCCTCGCGCGCGCGTTTGGTAAACAGCAAGAATAACATCTGGCACGTGATGGTGAATTGACCAGTGAGAGTTCGGCTCTCGATCATGAATATGTATGAGGTATAGTAATAATAGATATGTGCTTGGTCGGTTTTAACCACTTTGTTTAAGACCGCTTGGAGTCTGGGTGCTGATAATTACCCTCGCCTTCGGCAATATAGTGAAAAAAATAATCGAAATCGAAACAATTGTCATTTGACATGCGGCTGTCTCTTCATGAAAACGGTGACGAGTGGTGTGGTCACATGGTGGAAATCAGTGTGACCTAAAGTGAGAGCTATATGATTGAACTATATATGCTAACACTGTGAAATCTGTTTTTCTTTCTTTAAGGTGTATGAAGCCATCATATTGGACGCACAAAATGGCTTTGGGAAGCAAACCCAAGACAAGCTGTATATCAAGCTCAGTTCAACATGCGTGAAGGAGATGGACCTCAGATGTGAAACTGAATACCGGGTTGAGATTCAACTTCAGTTGGATCGGTCCCTTCTCTGCTACATGCATTCGGCAGTTGATCACCTACAGAACATGAATATGGTGTTCCCACCTGTAGCAAACCCAGACAGGTGAGTTGGTCTTCAATAGAACCAAATCTTACGCAGACAACCACAAATGGATTTAGAGGAAGCTTGTGAAAAAAAACACTTTAATACCTTTTGTCTTTCTTGGGAGCAGGGAATCGCACATTCTGTGTCCCGTAACTGTTTGGTACAATTAACACTGAGACCATAAGTTCATGTCGTTGAACCTGGACCAAAACAGGAGAGGGTTATAACTCTGCTTTGGAAATCAATATTAGCATGTGAAATAGGCATAAGAAGAGATCTTAAGCGAATAGGACTCCATCTTTTGATATTAAAAAGGTCAGAAAGACATGACGCATGAAGCATATTAAGTTTAAAGCACAAAATGTTCTTAGTGAATCCGCTTTTTCTTTCATTGTAAATTTCTTCACCGTGTAGTTTCCTTTTTTTGGTTTAAGTGGTACACGTTTCCAGTTCAAGTGACAATATTGCAATACTCTACCTTGTATCAAAACATGGTGCCATTGGAATCCACGGTTCACCGTGCGGAGTTTTGTTCAACCTTTTTATGAAAACAGCATTTCTTGTTATAGGCTTCCACTCGTTGACAAAGTAGAACAACCAGACACGGATTGTCACCAGGAAAGAGCTATTAGATTCATTTGTCAGCACAGAGGCGAGAAAGCAGATCCATCGTATGGTGATGGACCCTTGCTTCTTTGTGGACCGTTTGGAACAGGAAAGACTCATACTATGTCGACGGCAGTGAGGCGTACCTTAAAGGAACGTCCGGACAGTAAGATTCTCATCTGCACGCACTCCAACAGGTGATTCTGTCTTCTTGGGCAAATGTGCTGCTTAGGCCTATAGTCGAGCAGCATAACCCAATATTTTCAAAAATGTCCACTTTGTGGTTAAAGCATGAAACTTCACATGTTGGTTCTTCATGGCATGAAGAAAATAAAATTTTCACATGCACCTGTGGAGACATTTCGTATTTGACCTTTGGTCAAACTTTGAGAGGTCGGTGACCTTTACATACTATATTTATAACAATTGTTCTTCAAACTTCACTCTTCTATGACCCAAGTCTATGTTGTAGGTTTTCATACAATGCAAATAATGAACATGCAGACGTGGCAACAATTCATATCTTAAATTTGGTGACCTTCGAGAGGTCAGTGACCTTTGTAAACTTTTTTATAGCTTTACAGTGTGAGTAAAAACAAACTATACACTTTTAAAATTGGCCATTGTTTTATTTTGTAGCAATATGGATAAGATATTTTCATATGTACTTTTAGAGTAACTCTTCCTGCTCCTGTTGGTGAAATTTTCACTGGATAAGTTTTCCTGCATGACTGCACAGGAGACAATTAAACTTGGGTCGGGTGAAAGCTAAATTGCGCCAACTGGTCAGCAGGGCTGGATAAAATTGAGACAATTTAAAAGAACACAACCATTGTCTTGGTTCTGGTCATGGAACATAATCAGTTCAGATGTGTGCATCTTGCTCGCAATCGTTTCAGTAGGCAAATCTGGATGACCTCCAGAAAAGGATAACTCGTGAAATTCACATTTTTAGACAAGACAGGGAGGTGATTCGCCGAACCCAGCTAGCTGTGCATTGAACGAGATGGTTGCCATGTTGAGGACTAAGACACCGTTGAATTCAATTGACTTTTTAATTTAATTTAAATGTTTTAAATAAACACGAAGTTTAAAAGCTAAAAAAATCCTGTTGTGTCTCTTTGTTAGACAACGGTTGTGTTCTTTTAAATTGTTTCTTTCTAATCCAGCCCTGACCAGTTGGCGCAAGTCAGGTTTCACCCGACCCCTTTAATTGTCTCCTGTGCAGTCATGCAGGAAAACTAATCCAGTAAAAATGTCACCAAAAGAAGCAGGAAGAATTACTCTAAAGTACATATGACTCGCACTGTATATAGGATTTGCACTTCAAACCCAAACTTTTTAACGACCCAAGTCTGATTGTTAGGTGTTTATGATAGGACAATAATCTCATATATAGGACATTTCACATTTAACCTCTGGTGACCTTTAAGGGGTCATGACGTTTGTAAACCCTATCTGTAAATGTTTCTGTAGGCATCTTTCAGCTTGGTGACAGCCTTAGCGTTAAACTTGTAATGATCTTCGCAGCTTTTGCGTTTAAATCTGTAACTATCATTACTTAGAATGTTGTGTTCGATTTTGACAACTGAGTGCCCGAGATCTGTCTCTGCGTGTCGCATACTTTGCTCACAAAGCTTGCAAATTTGGTAGATCAAGCCATCAATCTTATCTAATATGGCTGCCTGCCATCCTGCAACTGCGGGTTTAACACGGTCATCGATAAAGGCTGCTTGCTCGCGCTTGTGCATCCACGGCGGAAAAAGAAACTAAGGAGGTGGATCTTGTGAAGTGCAAGTTTCTAGAACTGGCTTTCTTTTATACTTCCTCCTTATTTATACTACTCACTGATCTCATTACGTAACACCCTTCTACTAATCACCTGGCACGAATTACAAGCGTTGCCCGAATTCCAATTATTATTTCCTGCTATTTTTGGGGAAATGGATAATATGAAGGTGAAGTTTTGAAGAACAATGGTTAATATAGTATGTAAAAGTCATTGAATACTCAAAGGTCACCAGAGAACAAATACGAAATGTCCCCACATTTGAAAATTTGTTGTGTAAGCTTGATGTGCTGACTGATAATGCGGTCGCCATTATATTGAAGGACAGGCGCTCTGCTAGCAGAAAATTGTGTGCTTACTGACGCATGAAATTGGGCAGCGGTTGTTTCCGAATATTATTCTTACGTTTTGATTGTAAACGGCGAGTTTTTATCAAATTCTTTTAGCAGAAAAATATTTGTGATGTTTAACCTGAAATACTAATATCACCAAATACTGCACAAAAGACAATTGAGAGAAATTTGATAGAAAAAAACCGTTGAGTATTTGTTGTTCTTTTAGTGCTGCAGATTTATACATCACCGAACATCTGCACAAGTTGGTGGAAGCTAAAGAAATCAAGCAGATGACTCGTGTCTACGCAAGGAATCGACACATCAAAACCATTGGTGACATCGTCCTAAAATACACCAAAGTTGCAAACTGTAAGGTTCAGACACCAACCGTGAAGGAAATCAAAGCAAGTAGTGTTGTGATTACGACTCTCACTACGTCTTACAGCCTTCAATCGTCGGAGCTATATGGTCACTTCACCCATATCTTGATAGACGAAGCGGGACAGGCATTGGAGACGGAGGTACTGCAACCTTTGACCTTTGCTACAGGAAGTACCTGCGTAGTTCTGGCAGGAGATCATCTACAGATGAGCCCTAAGGTAACCACACAATTCAGGCTTCACGACTCACTTATCCTTTAATTTCTGTAATATTTTTTGTTTAAATTACAATTTAAGCAGCTTAGCTGCAAGGGCGGATCCAGAACACAATTCTTTTTTTGGGGGGGGGGGGGCCCAAAAAAAATGTGGTCCCCAAAAAAGTGGGTCAAAAAAATAACAGCGTGGGATTCGGGCCCGCTTAAGGGCCCCGAAATTTTTTGGATTCTAGATGTTCTGTGGTGCGATCTGAGGCAATTTCTGACCTCTTTAACCAATGGTTTTTTGAGGAAAAGATGGTGGTGTACTCCTTTATTGCGATGTTATTTTTTTTTTGGGGGGGGGGGGACATGGCCCCCTTTGGCCCCCCCCCTGGATCCGCCCTTGCTTAGCTGTACTTGACGGGACCATCAGCGATTTTCAATTGAGCTCTAACTTATAAGGTTGTGTGACAAGAAGGATTTAAAAGCAGGATCACGGATTTGTACCAAGTTAGTTTCGAACTCAAGTTTCACATGGTATGATTACGTTTCGTTACCCGTTATGTGAGTTCAATACCCCCGCTTTAAAATATACCCGATTTTTAAATTACAAGGTAAAGATGACTTGTTTAATGTTTTCCAAGGTATTTTCTCGCACTGCTCGCCATGCTAAGTTCCACATTTCTCTCCTGGAGCGTCTATTCTACCTGAAGGCGGCCAGAGTTTTGCTGGCTTCAAACTATCGGACCTGTCAGAAGATGCTAGACTTCATCTGTGGGTCATTTTACTATGGAAACCGCACAAGCCGCAACTTGAAAGCAGTCGGTGAACATGAGCCGCATCCGAGATTCAATCATCCTATGATATTCTTCACGGTAAAAGGAGAGGATGAGAGGATGGGCATGTCGTACGTCAACCACTTCGAGGTAAAAACACTGTAAAAACACCTAGTTACATTTGACAAGAAAACAGTCAAACTTGCACGATGGGTTTTCTTTCACTTGAACGTAATCAGCAGGTCATGTTTTTTGGCTACCACCTAACAACGGCCCTATCTAAATATAGTTGGTGTTTTTATTTTTGAATTTCGATACTAACAGGTAGCTAAGATAGTGTCAACTGTGCGAGACCTGCTTCACGACTGGCCCGAGGATAAGTGGGGGAAACAAGGAGCTAACTGCATCTGTGTGGTGGCATCATATAAAATGCAGGTATATTAAACTTTCTTAACGGTATGTTGACGTTTTAGCTCAGTGCATGCTATATATTTTAAGAAAACAGAGTAGTAGGTGTGGGGCAAATCAGTCCTTGTTTTAGGATTTTGTGTGGAGGATTGAGGATTAAGTTGAGGATCAAGTTCTATTTATATATAGAATAAATGCTTAAAAGATGGAATAAAGGTGGCGGCGCTGACGTCATTTATCCTATAGGGCGTCATAGACAATAAATGTGAACATGACAACGATTTATGTTTTTGTTACCACAATGGATAGCACCACGCTAGGAAATATATCTGTTTTATTACAAATGGTGCCATTGTTGGGCTTTTTTTTATATGGACTCTCTCTACTTATGAGCCCTGGGATAAGGCCATTTATTCGCAAAATGTTAGATATTAATCTTTATATTATTTTTGTTTTAGTTTACTTTGGGGCATCCGTAAATGGTGCTCTTCAAAGGCAAAGCCGGTACTTTTGCCTTTCAGCCCCCAAAAAACTGTAATTTTTTTTTTATTTTGAGGAAAAAAGATAAAATCATATTTTGGGCCAGTGTTGTCAGTAAACTGGCTCAGCCGTGACCTATTGTCACTTTTAACAGTCTTGAGAGGATGGATAAACAAGGAAAAACATGGTTGGTCCAAGTTTAATTTGCATTTGTACTATCCGAGGGCATATTGATTTGAGGATACTTCCAAAATCATGTGACTTTACCCTATTTGGGGACACAAAATGATGGGTTCAAAGCTCATGGTTTTCTTAAAATAGCGACTTTAATTGAATATTGTATAAAACATGTTTACCCTCATTGCTCCGTTATTTTTAAAACACCATGAATTTATTTTGTCATCATTGAAGATACGGCAAATTCGTACTCAACTTCGAAAAGGAGGGATGGGAAGCATAGATGTATTACCTGTGCAGAGTGCCCAGGGTAAGTTATTGAAGTTTACGCAAACTTAATTTGGATGGTACCCTTATTGTAACAAACGGCATAGTTGATTTTATAGTGCGTTATCCTTGTTCTTTACACCAAACAGGGAAACAGTATCGGGTGATGATCATTAGCACGGTAAGAACACGAAGCACCCTGAACAAAGCCGACACAACGGCATTTGTTTCAAAGATAAGCCCGGCCAATCACCCAGACGACACATTCGACTACGGCTTTCTGTCTGACCCCCGACTCCTCAACACAGCGTGTACTCGAGCACAATCTCTTCTGATAGTTGTAGGTGATCCTTCGACCTTGTGCTCTGTAGGTGATTGCTCCAAGATATGGCGAAGGTACTTGAAAGATTGCGAGGACAACAAAACACTGCTTCCACTGGTACGCACTTTTGATGTTGTTTTCTTTCATTGACCGCGTCAACACATGTATTCGTCTGTAGCATAACAATAGATATTCCAAAAATAAGTTTACCTTAATTCAGCACCATAATTGTTTCCATGTGCCATGTTGACAAACCCTGAGTATCACAAACAATTCATTTGTTTACAGGGGACTACTATCGCAGGAATCCAACAAGAGATGGAAGCAGCTAAACAGCGTTTGAACCCTTCGGCCCCGCTCTACCAGCCTGCTTCTGAATCAACCGGCAAGCTTTTTCCAAAGGTTCATTCATCAGAAGCCAACAAACCGAACTACTCACCAGAGCCTACAGCATCGAAGCCAGTTAATGATCCATGGTTGCCCGACGATGATACAATCCTCTCCGATGGCATCATGCGAGAACTGTACAGGCAGATAAGCCACGATGAGCGTAGACGAAACGAGTCAGAGGAGGATCCTTGTGTCGAGCTAGGCGAACCCGATGATGCCGAAGTCGAAAGGGAAGTGTCTCTTAAATGGAAAAGGAAGCCTCCTAAGTTTCGGATGATACGGGAAAGCGATCGCATAGTTCTAGATATCAAGTTTGCCGATGGAGACAAGAGGGGGGCTGATGAATCCGAGGAGTCAGATTCTGGCGAAGGTTTGAGAAATGACAAGCATGACGAAAGAAAACGCCAAAACGCTTACAAGCAAGTTGAACAACGTCCAGACATATTCAAGATCTGTTCTTTCCATTGTGACGAGTCCGGGCACACATACGCCATCCCGCTTGATGAGGGAATGTGTGGGAAAATTTACATCACCAGCAAAAGACGACGGGGAAGAGCCTTGAATTTAGATGAGGTTATCGTGGAAATAGTCAACGCGGACGAATCTGTGGTCTCAGAAAGCAAGAACAAATACGGGAAGGTCATATGCGTGTGCAAGAGGGCAGCTGGATCCGCTCTCACCTCGAAAGTAGTTTGTTGGCTTGACGAGCATATAGACAGGCAAATGGTTCCGGTTGAGCGCACTCTCCCCAAGTTCTTTGTCTTAAGTCGAGATGAAAAGAAAAGAGGGAGCACAAGTACTAGTCGTGCATCGCCGGACCTTCGTACCGTGTCTATCTACCGTTACAGTAGAGAACTTCAGGAAGACTCGCCCTTTGTGAGGAATGTGAAGGTGTCCAGGAGAGATCGAGCTCACAAGCTCTTCGTCGTTGAATATCTGAAATGGTTTGCCAAAGATCCTTATCCAATGGGTGTGGTTACGGAAGAGCTCCCGCAAGCAGATTGCAAAGAAACGGGCCTTCGCATTCTGAAGCTCATTTATGGAGTAAAGGATGACTGGAAATCTGACATAATTGAGGAGGTGGAGAGCCAGTTTCCAGATGATTGGGAGATTCCTGAAGCTGAAATTCAGTCAAGATGTGACGCCCGAAATCGATTCGCCTTTACAATTGATCCCCAAGAAAGCCAAGACCTCGATGACGCTCTGAGTGTAGATTATGTGGGAGGAAACTATCAAATCGGCATTCATATTGCCGATGTGTCTTACTTCGTGCCTCATGGTAGCAAGCTGGATAAAGAAGCAAGAGCGAGGGCTACCTCGTTCTATCCACATCGTGCTCTCGCCAAACCAATCAATATGCTCCCTCCACAGCTTAGCAACAAGTTATGCAGTCTGCTGCCTCAAAAAGATAGACTTACCATTTCAGTCTATGCCACCCTAGATGCAAAGGGGAATTTGGTGGGTGACCCTGATATTGAGCGGTCCGTGATTCGTTCCCGCCATCAGCTGAGCTATGATCACGTAGAAGAAATCATCATGTCGACAAGCAACAAGAGAAACAACAACATAACCATCACAGAAAAAATCTTGACATTAAATGAGCTAGCGAAAGAGAGAAGAAGGATCCGTCTGGGAGTGGGTCGGTTTGCTTTCTCACATGATGCTGAAGAAGACGAGGTTCAACATCTAGTGGCGCATTCTTTGGTAGAAGAAATGATGCTCCTTGCCAATGAGGCCGTGGCCATTTATCTTGTGAAGGTATATCCCGACTGCAGCCCACTCAGAAGGCAGCTACCTCCAAGTGACGAAAATGTTGAAGAATGGTTGAAAAATCACGCCCAAGACCTTGCAAACAGTTTGGAACTCCAGTCGATACGTTTCCAAAAACGTTTCCAAAAAGAGGTTCAAAATGAAATTGACGTGTACGTTCTGAAAGAAAAGTGGAACCAACTGCGTTCAGCTGTCGATAAGCAAGACAATATTACTACGATCACCGACTTAATAACCAGCGATGAAAACCACCCGCAGCTTGCCGTGGCCAGAACAGACTTATTTATCATGCAAGAAAATGCCGACTACATCAGCACCGGAGAACATCCAGACACATCTAGGAGAGGTCATCACTCGCTGAACATGCCAGTCTATACTCAGTTCACATCACCGATCCGTCGGTACTTTGATATCGCCGTACATCGAATGCTGATTGCTGCCATTAATGACGACAAAGCTCGAAGCACTCTGCATCAGTCAGAGCGACCATATAACACTGATGAGCTTTCAGCAATTTCTCATCACTGCAACATACAACGACTGAATTCACAAGCTTTTGAGAAGAAGACCCGTGCCCTCCAGTGTGCTCTGAGGCTTCGAGAAGCCCCTCAGTCGTTCGAGGTATTTGTTGGTGGATTTTCTGACGCGAGTCTGGAACTGATATTTCCCTACAGACGTTTCCTCCCGTCGGCGTGTCCTCTGAATCTACTGAAGCCAATCAGCAAGCCAGAGTTTGATGGGAAAAATGCTAATATGGAGCTAAAATGGAAAGAAAGGATCTACGAGTTGCGTGGTACAACTACACCCAAACCACGATATGTGTCGAAGCCAACTCTGGATACGGAGCAGATGATTGTGAAGATTTCTGCCGATCATTGGAAGGAGATTCTAGGAGCAGTTAAGGCACAGAACATCGATGTGATCCAGAGGGCTGTCAAGGCCGCAGACGAGGAACAACAACTTACAAAACAAGAAAAATCGAGAAAACAGAAGCAGCGACGCCTACCTGAGAATCAGGACCTTCCTGTTGAAGAAGTCACCTGCGAAACTTTAGATGTAAGAAAACCCTCGCTTTTCGTAAATTTCCAGAGAAGCTTCAAGCGAGGCGATGTGTTGAAGGTCCAGCTTAATGCAACGATTCAGAGGGGAATACTGTCACCTTGTGTGCAGCTCTTCTTTCTCACCCCGAAGCTGAGCCTTTGCGCGGAACATCGAGGGAATGCAGTCGAATGCTTTTCCAAAGAGGCAGCACGTCGCCCTCCTACAAATATAGGCAGTGTTGAACAATACCAGGCCGTATGGCTGCCAATCATTCAGATGGTCTCAGCCTACAGCGCTGTTGTGAGTGATGAAAGCTGCGTGATCCATGACGTAGATGTCGAATGGCATTGCACCGAAACAGACGACCAAGAACGAAATTACAAAGGGGCTTTTATGATCAAGCAAACTTTCTGCAGTGATCGGAGTTTTGGCATGCACCAGGGTGACTACCTTTGTATGCGCTACAGGGACGTACCTCTGTCTTCCGAGGCACAGAATAAGCTCCGCGAACTTGGTACCACCTCCACATCCAGTCAAAGTCACATCCAGTCATCCAAGACTACGTTCGTTGCCCATGCAGTCATTACGTCCGTTGTGGACATAAACAAGAAAACCGACGCGTGGACGATCCAAGTTAAAGTTGGAGTTAATCAACATTCGGCCCCTTTTCCAGATGTGTTGTTCAAAGAGAATAAGAAAGTACCAACATGTACTATCGAGTTGATACCGAAGGCTAACACAGACATGTGAGTATCATTAAACATTTTAGCATTGCAATTTTCCTTCTGGTTGATAAAGTGTTTGAAATGTAAAGAGTGACATTATTATTGTCCTATTATGTTTTTGTCTATTAAATTTCTTACTTTTTTAATATAAAATTGTGGCAATGATCTACGCAGGCTACAGCTTCTCATGCATAGAGTTTAACCTTAATAGGTTATTCTTCAAATCGTTTTAACTGTGATGTTTCTGGAAATAATTGAGTTGATTTTGAAAAGTCAATGTATATATACAATTTCCTATCGACTTTGCTTTTCTTTATAGCCGCCTTGAGTCTGCAGTAAGACATCTGCACAACGCGAAGGAGCTGGTCAAAGGAATATGCATGCACCAAATACCTGCTGTCAGCGGCACAGGTAGTTTATTCCAACTGTTCAGCTATATGTGATACAGCCTATAATGATACTGGTATCTCATATCCTTGAAGTTAGGTCTAAGTAAACGCTGTTTCAGACACCTGTTTGATTATAAAAATTTCGTTCACTTCCACCTGGTTGTAAACGTCTTAACATTTGATTGATCTGCAACTACGTGCTTACACACAGATCCGATCATCAGAAAGGTTCTCGAGGAAGGTAGAAAGATCGACGATTTCTCCATCACAGGATCACCACTTCCCAAACCTAGTGAATCACAACAGACTGCCTTGAAGAAGGCTCTGCGGCAACAATTCACAGTCATTCAAGGACCTCCAGGTAAGTCTTGTAGATGCCATTTTTGTTTTTGTCCTTCATCATCAGATTGTTTCCCCACCCCAGTGCTGCATTAAATGCATTTTGATTATTGTCTATGAACGAGGGTAATTTTGTCTTGATATATATAATGTTAATGTTTTTTCCCCAGTTTTGAACGTGTTTCACGTAATTTTTATGTAAATCTGTATATGGATGTGGAATTGTAGATTTTCGAGTCCATGCCGAATTTTTGTAAGTTGTGTTCAAGATACGCTCAGTCTTGGGCTTGAATCTAAACCAAGCTCATGTAACTGATATAGAAACAGAAGAAAGTTTGTAAAATATACTAATGTTGTGAATTTTGATTTGGAGATGTATGTTTTGATATCGTGACTTTGTAATTACTGAACGATCCTGGGACTCTGTAAACATAATTATGATCACTTTACAGGTACGGGCAAGACAGTGACCGGTGTCCATCTTACATATTTCTTCGGTGAAGTTAACAAGCAGCTTTCTGCCGTGGGAAGAGGACCACAAGTTCTCTACTGCGGACCATCCAACAAATCTGTAGATGTCGTTGCCCGTGAGATATCCTGATATATTTCAAACAACGTTTATTTCGTTTCGTTTTTTTGTAATGAAATAATATCATTGTTGGGCGTTGACAAAAACATATTTATTCAGCACAGATAGAGGGAGCATGTCATAATTTCTCGCTCATGTCTTGTTTAGATTACATGCTACGACTGAACATAGCAGCAGTTCGGGTCTACAACAACATGATGGAACAGCAGGACTATCCCATTCTTGGACAGTCAGGAAGAGCATCGAAGGCTGGAAGCACCAAAGAAACCAAAGTGGATCCTCATCTGAGGCAAATCTCACTCCATCATCTCATCCGGCAGCCATCCAACCGACACAGTGGGGAAATCTTGGCCCTTGAGCAGACATTCCAGAGTCCAGGATACAAGATTTCATTCCGTGAACAAAACAAGTACAAGAGAGCCATTCACGAAGCTGAGGTATGCGGTATGGCTGTAAAAAGCGAATTCGGTTTGATTGTATCGAATATAAGCTGATTATGGCCAAGGGAGAGATTTGAAATGGATCTCACACAGTTTTGACAGTTTTGACACTATTTTGTTCAATTAATATTATTCAGACTATGCAGATTACTGATGGCACAGATCATTGGCAAAAGAACATTCCACTTGGTAGTCATCTTTACAAGTATACACAGTCGCGGTCATTTACCTGTCAAACAGTTTGTAAGCGTCTATTGAGGGCAAATCAAAGTATAGTCAGTCTAAATTTACTTTCTTTGCACATGATTTCCCAATTCATTTTACTGATGCGTCCATAAAATGAACTGCAGACAATTATTGCTTCAAACAAAACTGCACATACCAAAAAAAAAAGGCATTTGCCATGTGACAACAAATATGGAATTACATATATAAATGAATGGTTGCCAAAAAAGAGGCAAAAACTACAGCCAGACATTGTCTCCTTTCCTTTTTATGGAGGCTGAAGAACTCAAGAAATGTAAGGTGGTCTTGTGTACATGCAATGAGGCTGGGAGCATACGGATACAGAGAAATGTGAATGCCATACAGTGTATCGTGGATGAGGCTGGCATGTGCAACGAGCCAGAGACTCTGATACCACTGGTTGGCACTATCGAAGAATCGGAAGACCAACCCGTTACACGCAAGAAGGATGTAAGACAGGAACCACGCCAAATTGTCTTGATCGGTGACCACAAACAACTCAGGTGAGCAATAGACCATATGCGGCCCCCCAAAATAATTCCATAAAAAAAATTGCACTAGCCAAATGTAAGAACGTGACGTACATGCAAACGGTCTCCCCCGAAATAAATAGTCGTTGGAAGTATGCGTTAGGGTAGAGTTGGAGGTCAGTGGTTGGGTAGGCATGAGCAAAACTTTAGTTGTTACTAAATTAAAATAACAAAGAACATCCTCTGGGGCACCTGCCACGTATAAGATCTGTATCTCAAGGTTTTGTGCATACGGCGCACGTTGTAGCAAACAACTCTGGCAGTAAGCTGCTGCTTGGGATTTTGTTCTCGAGAGAAGGTTAACAATAATGCGTGGAACTCAAGTCAAAATGACATTATTTCTTTCTGTTCTCTTCAATTACAGACCTATCATTCAGGAGACGACTGCCGTGCAGCTAGGCATGGAGACATCACTGCTAGAGAAATACGGAAAGGAGGCCACGATGCTTACCATTCAGTATCGCATGGTATGTTCCCGCAGAATATCCGTTTTACTAGAATCATGAAATGAAGAAACCACTACGTTTTGTTCACTGAAATAATGACAATATACTTGTGTACTTCCATTGGTGTTCATTTCAATGTTTTTAACAACTGAGCAATAATGCTCAAATGTCACTTGAATTTGTTGAAGTTATGCTTGTTAGATATCACTGCGATTTATCCTAGGAGGAGCGGTGCACCCACATTGTGCACGAACAAAATGGCTGAGTTTCTCAAAAGTTGGTCAGACTACCTAATCAAACTTTATAGCATTTTCGTGCCTATGGTCTTGTTTATATTTGGTGGAAAATCAAGAAAATCCGACAATGCAAACCAGAGATAATGATTTGGCTCTGCATTGTTCGACCTGCACAATGTAATTTCCATACTAGTATTTGCTTGAGTATACCAACTATTGGGTTATTGGTATGTGTTACACAGTGCTTGAAATATTGCATAATATATTGCATTTGGCTATATTTGTTCACAGATAACATTTTACATAATAGATAATATCAGGTGTTTAGTCTTTGACAGAGGTGTTAAAAGGGCAGTGAACATGCAATTTTTTCACAGCTGAAATGTATTGGCGTAAGCTTATCTACATAATTCAGGAGGAAAATAGTATAGCCTTACAAAATCAACAATATCTCTGGTTTGCATTGATGGATTTTCTTGATATTTTAAACAGTTATAAACAAGACCATAGGCTTTAATAAAATATTAAATTTGATTAGCTAGTTTAACCACCTTTTTGGCAAATCAGTGACTTCGTGCACAATGTTTATTGGGACGCGCTGTAGAGATTGACTTTACCATCACTTCACAGGAACATTTCACTTTTCTTTCCAGCACGAATCAATATGTGCCTTTCCATCAGAGGTGTTTTACCAAGGGAAGCTGGTAACGGCAGACATTGTGAGACGGCGGCCCCAGCAGCTGAATAAGACATGGCCCGGTGGGCGGGGCAACCCCCTCGTGTTTTGTCATCACATTGGAAGCGAGGATAAGCAAAGTGTCAGGACCGAGGAGGGTGGGGAACACTCACAGGCTAACCCTCAAGAGGTCACACACGTGGTACGTAAAGACTTGAAGTAGCCATTGGGAGTTTATTTCGTTTGTTACGCAATCTAAAAAAATCGAGTTAGATTAATTAAGCCGTAATCTGAGATACCTTTCAGGGTCAAACTGACAATTTTCGGGTCAAAATAACACCTCTCTGTATCATTTCAAAAGTGTCGTTTAGACCAACAAAAGTGTCATTTTGACACTGAAAAGTGTCGGGTCAAATAGGACCCGGGACCTTTTAGATTGAGAATTAGTTGTTCCTCGATCTCTTCTGCTTTTTTGGTAATGGATGGAAATTCAGCTCTTCGTATGCTCCGACCGTGTCGAAGAAGACGGCTATCTTTGGTTCACTGGACTTTTGGCAAATATTTGCACAGCAGGAAACTGTTATTTTCATGCAAAATGCAGTTTTAACTGGAGAATCATTCTGTCGGTATCTCTGCTCAACAGGTCCGCATTGCGTCAAACATGGTGCGTCTAGGCGTGAAACAAGACAGGATCGTCATTCTTACCCAATATCGCCTCCAGAGGGCGCAGATCAAAGACAGGCTGAAGAAAGCCAACATGAAAGACATCCTCGTCAGCACTGTCAAAACCAGTCAAGGTAATCTAACATTGCTTCACCGTTCTATGGCGTGCGGCGTTTCAATGTTAACTTGCATGTCATACCTTTTAACCAATAGGCCTATAGTTCAAACAATATGAATGATACATTCGGACTCTAATTTGATGAATGTATTCAAAGTCTACAGAGCGAAGTGATTATCTTGCGTCACATTAATGCATTCTTATATGACTGGATTTGACCTGACTCTGTTATTGGTCAAGTGGTCCAGGAAAGTGACCGAGAGAAGTGTCATTTCAATCCGGAAAAATGTCAAGTCAAATCCGATTTGTGTGGGACCTGACCCGGGACTTTTAATATAGTGCTAGAGTATACTAGCCCGTATACTATTTATCATATTCAATGTGTACTCCGGTTGGTTGTTTTTCCCTGTTACAGGTAAGGAGTGGGACTACGTGATTCTGTCTACAGTCAGGTCACTTCCACGGGTAGAAATTGACGAGAAAGCATCCACAGCCTGGAAGATACGCAACCTGGGATTTATCACAGATGAGAATCAGATCAATGTCGCCATCACCCGGCCAAAAATGGGATTGATCATTCTAGGTAAGTTGGATTTTACAGGACTGCGATCTTATATTATCAGAGACAGGTTATCTAAATATGTTGAATTAGCTGGATCGGGTATTGATTTGGATATTGGTATTTTGACTTTTTATGTGTTACAATTTTGAAAACGTCTGGGGTCAGATTCAACCTGAAATCTGGGTCACATTTGACTTCACACGCCTTTCTTGATCAAAATTTTGTGGCATACAAAGAACCCTTTTCTTAGTTATCTTGGCGTGAAAAAGACACTTTCCCCGGATCAAATGGCTCGGAAGAATGACTCATTTGACCACGAATTATTTCAGGTCAAATCTGACCCTGACCCGGATCGAGTCTGACCCGGGACTTGAATGAATGTACAGCTTGCCCAACATGTCAGACATTTCAGAGGTAGTTAAACATACAAAGTATGAAGGCCACAATAAAAACTCATATCATTTCTTGGGGAAAAATGTTTCAGCAAACGGTTGGCTGTACACTCTTAAAAGTCCTAGGTTAGATTCGACCCTAATCCGGGTCAGATTTTCCGGACCTAAATAATACTTCTCTGAGTCAATTTCTGTGTCATTTGACCCAGAGAGGCTTTTAGGCCTATATGAAAATTATCATCTTGACCCAGAAGAGTGTCAAATCTGACCGGAACCCTGAAGTGTGCATGGGAACAACCGCCTACAAAATGTCCACTACTGTGATGCGTTATCGAGAATATATCTTCTAATAAGGAATCTTGTAAATGTGTGTTTTCATTTCAAGGCAACAAGTACTTACTTAGTGTTCACCGCACATGGAAGCTTCTACTGGCCCATTACGAAGAGAAGGGAGCTTTGGTGAACGCAAAGGACTTCCTACCTTAGACTGTGAACGGGAACAGCTAAAACGTTGCAACAGCAAATAAAACGTTGACAGACATTGTTATTACTTTCCTGCATTAGATTAAAAAATATATCGGTATTAATGAGATGGGCAAGTGTGGTTTCTTATGAAAAACATAACATGTGTTTAATCTGTATCTACACTTATAGTTACAATGTGCCTTTGCCGATTGGGAGTCATTTTCTTAAAAGATGTAGTCTTAAATGATGTAGCAAAACCAATCCAACGATCTTACTTCATATAACAGATGCATATGGTGTACAAATAGTTGATAGGGTAATGATGAAGGTTTGGTAAAGACCAATTAATGGTAATGTATCGTTCAGAATAAATGTCAATTTAATCATTCCAAAATCGGACCTCAAGTCAAATCTGAAGCCTGCAGATCAAAAGTAACAGGGGATAATAATCACAGGGACGCCTTTGTCACATTTCGTTTAAATATAGCTTGTCACCTGACTTGAGACTGTGTGACATGTGACTGACTTTGGATGCTTATAAAGCCGAGTTTATATTCCTCGGCCGTTTGAAAATTGTCCCTCTGACCTTCGGGTGCATAGATGTACTCTATTGACCTCATTACTATAGTCAATATGTACGCGTATAATATTTACATCATTTTGAACCTTGCGAGTCAGGACGTCTTTCAGGAAATGTTTCATCTTCTACTGTAAATGTCAGATATAGGCCAAAGACATATATGTTTGTAGCGAAATTGTTTTTAATTTCGTTTTTTTTCCTTCAAATAATTAAAAAAATCAAAAGAAAGGGGAGTCTTCGCTCGTCCCCACGCCCTGTCTAAGGAAGCCCCTAATACCGCCAATCCATTTCACACACACAAAAAAAACTCATGCAGGACATATAGTAGTCGCAAAGCATTGTGGGAAAGTCTAGTACAATGTATGTGCGTTACATTGATCTCCATTAGAAAGTCTTTCTAATGGAGATCAATCGTGCATTCCCTGCGCACGGGTTATGCGCATGCGGAAGTGCTGACCCCGGATCACCCGCTAAACAAATGTATCAAATGAAAGCTCAAAGAAACTGCAGATCGCAAGCCTTGAATAGGGGTCAAGGTACGAGCGATAGACGCACCTTGTAAAACACGCTTGCACTTTGGATACAAAACACTATATTATTATATATCATATGAAAATATATTTATTAAAGTTTATATTGTATTAGTCAAATATTTTTTCCTTTATACACCTTACTGCACATTCTACTATAAAATAATATAATTGTAGCATTATTATAAATAATTTTCGATTCAGAATTCTATATCAACAATCGACTGTATCATTATGATACAAATTTTACAGTTTTTATTTGTATGTGCCAAATACTTAAATACTATCATGAGGAATCACATTCCAATTGTCTTAACCGTACATCATTTTGCTTTGGAATTACGACATGTTTAAATTATTAATTAGTTATCGTTATTTATCCTAAAATTTTAATAATATAAAAGACTGTGCCGTCACTGAGTGACAGCACTTTCCTAGTTGATCGAGAAGTATAAGATGGATCTAAAAGTGTGGCTAGACGTCAAGTGAATCCATCTTAGTGGGCAAGGTTAGAGCTGAGGTAGGCTATTATCACATGAACTGAAATATAATCTCAGTATAGTATTGTGTTAATTGAAATCAAGTCCATACAACTCGCTAATTGACGAGTTGTGATTATTCAGTTGTAATTATTAATGATATCTGTTTTATGCGAATTCCTTAATAATATGCATCAATGCTTTCCATAATTAACAGCCTCCTGTGTTATTAAATAAACATCAAATAAAACAGATGTAATATATTGATCTTAAAGATAGGCCTGCTGAACTACAGGTCAGTCGAATGAAAATGTTTCAAGAAAGTGTGAACAAGGCAATTTTTTTACGTTTTCTATTACAAAGTCGTACAAATATTTGTATTACTATTACACCATGTGTACAAATTAATTAATTCTATCAAAATAATATATATAGACTTCAGGTGATGGTATTATATCCGTTGTCGGTTTCATTGTTTGTGTCAGTTACAAGATTTGGAAAGGGTCCGTAAGCGTGACAATGGCCCCCGTTTAACACCATCTCTCTCCATGAACAGGGGTGGTATAGGCCTACGCAATTTTGTAAAGGCCGGGACTAATTACTTTACTACTCATATCTCCGGACATCGGAGATATGACATTTCAAACAAAAGTTTGTTGGAAAATGAAAATCCTGTTGGAAAATTTGTTGCTGCAGTAAAACCTCAATATATTTTTTGCTAAGCGGAGCTATTGGCTTGGCAAGGGGGAGGGGGGGGGGGGGTCTAACGCACCGGGGGCCTCGTTGAAATTACAGCGGATAGGACTCTTTAGGTTTTTATGTATGGTGTTTTTACATGATTTTACAGGTTTAGTATATCAGGAATGATTAAATAAAAGGTTAAAATATGTTAAGGACATCTCAGTTTTTGAACTTTTGAACTCCGGTGATTCAAAGAACTATTTGATTTAAAATGATACCATGCATTCCAGATGACAGTTTTGTAACTTTGATGTATATTTTCACGTATTACTCTCATTATCCACGGAAGTATATAACGTACATGTATTTAGAAATGATATACATGTATTACGAATAATAGAAGGAAAAATATATACAATGTATACCTTATTATTTAGAGCTTAATTTACGAAACTGCTTTCTCAACCTTGAGTGACAGAATTATCACAGTCAGATTTACTAAAATATTTAATTGCCGAAACAATGAGTTATTTGTAGGTGTTTTTGTGCAGGCAAAAATATTAAAAACAATGGAAAAGAATTGCCCTAAAAGATGCATTACTAATGGTCTGTACATCTATGACTGTGCTCTCATTTCTAAACGTTAGCCATATAAATATGGCCCAGGATATACGTTGTGAAGAAAAGGGGACTGCAGTGCTTATTGACAATAAATTAGATATAACGAACGAAACACAGCAAAGAAAGTATGCCTCAGTGTGCAGCTCCAATGCCATAGTAAAGATCCGTCAAGCTCGTGCTACACATAATTATTGTTAATTTGAAGCTAACATTTAGAACATGAATATATACATGTGTATCGACCAAACGATATCCGTAATCAGAGCTTTGTTATAAATGCTTTAACTTGAAATAAAAGAAACTTGTTGGCAACCAATGTGTATAGCCTAGGTCGGTAATCGTTCTTCGTTTACATTTAATTTTTGTGTATATAGATTGCACAAGTCATAATATGGAAAGCGTTGTACGACTTTCACTGAGGCCTGTAGCTGTGTACTTTCTCTTCCAGTCTAATTATTCGGCATGGCGAGGGGTTTACTTGTCTCCCTTGGAATAGAGAAGGCGCGGGGGGAATTAAAAAGAATGAAAAATAAAATGTATCTCAGAAAAAAAGTTAGTTTAAACCGATACTATAAGGCCAAAAAAATAAATAAGTCGGTCTCTGGTCAGCGCGCGCGTCGATTTTAATCATGCGCGTCGATCTTTTTTTTGTCCAAAATGTTCCGCGGTAGCTCCAACAGCGCCCTGTATTTCCGCAACTCCTCATTTTTTTTTTACCAAGAGAGCACCAAGGAATGGGAAATTGCACCAAGGCAAATGATCGAAAGCACCAAGGCAAATTATGGAGGACACCAATGTACATGAGGATACCAAAAAAAGCAAAATAGTACCCACCTTGTCTGTACAATCCAAGCTTGAAGAAAAAAAAAAAAACCAAAAAAAAAAAAAAAAGCCAGGTGGCCGCGTCAATTCCGGAACTTTGGTCTGACCAGAGACCGTATATTTTTTTTTTTTGGCCTAAGCGTTATTTTTTTTGTATTTTTGAATAATTGAAACTTCTGGAAAGGGGCCCGCTGCTTTGTACACAACATAATTTATATGAACACATCTTCAAAAGCACCCCAAGCATCAAATGATGCCCGTCTCTTACCCCCCCCCCCCGGAAACACACACACAAACACACTCACCCATCCTAGGTTTGTTTTTCTCTTTCGGGCCGGTAAGTGCTTTGCGCCCCCCCCCCCCCGGAAAATATATTGTACCCCTATATCGAAGCTGTAGATTCCAGTTTAATATCACGGGTCGTTCGCTTCATGCATGAGCATGATCAAATCGTTCATAATGATAAGCAAAAGTTGTCCCCTAGTTTGAATATTAAAAGCCCAAGACAGGGGTTCTGGGATAATATGACGACAGGCACAAAGCCCTGGTTTCACAACTTGCACTAGGCCTAATGACCGGCCACTCGATCTCAGTCATTGTTCGGACCACATGCATTGTGCATTGTTCACTTTACAGATCAGCATATGCGTAGCTAGCGCGAGGGGGGGGGGAGGGGGTATTTACCTCCCAAATATTTTGTCAAGACTGCCTTTTTCATTCAAATGCCTTTATTCACCAGCGCTTACCCCTCAATATTTGTAAAGAGTGCCCCTTTTTTCTGAACAAGTGCCTTTTTTATTTTTAAATCGTGCTCTTTTTGTGTGCCATCGGCCGTTATGGGGTTGCCTTTTTTTAAATTTTCGCGCATGTATCGGATTTGAACAGCGCCCCCATCGACGGACCAGCCCCCCCCCCCCCCATTTGATTTTACGGAGGCCTTGTTTACCCCCCCCCCCCTCCCAACTAAACATGACCTTGTTGGGCCTTTATATCCGGTTCGTTAGTGTGACATCAGTTTAGTTTAAACCACGCCCACTGGCCATTAGCATCGGAACCATTGGAACCGGAAGTCAACGCAACTCGAGTGTTTATCAAATGGGCGTCACTACTCAGCGGTACGCGCGCGTGGATGACGTTTTTACTAACGAACAGGATACCTATGCCTTTCATTTTAACTCAAGTTCATTTTTAAATGGCGGCAGGCACATCCTGCATAATGCATCATAAATAACCGTATATTCTTCACGATCTAAAAATATACTTCGGGAAAGATAAAACAGACTCTTTGGCAGATACATGTTTGGACACGTTTTAGTAACAGATTGAGATTTTATTATCATGGTTTATTCTAGACCTCGACCTAAATTACAAGAATTGCTAATGTTCATATTGAAAATATAATGAATGTACCATGCACTGTCCGGTCAGTTTGTTCAGGAAAATCAATATCAAGGCTCAATGCAATCGAACTGGCATTAACCATTGGCATCACTGGCGCTTTCTGAAAAAGTCTTCCACTAAAAATTAAAAAATGGAAAACAAAATCGTCAAGCCTGTTTGCATCATTTACATTATCAAATATTTGGCTCAACAATCTAATACTAATAACTATAACTATTACATCGTAATTCCAAGGCAAAATGTTGTACGTTTAAGACAATTGGAATATGATTCATCTTGATCATCTCATTCATAATAAAGATATGCAATTTAAGTATTTGGCACATACACATAAACAATTCAAAAATGTCAGTTTATATAAAGATACATTCGATTATTGATATACAATTCCGAGTTGAAAAATATTTCATAAAAATGCTGAGAAATTAAATATTTGTAATAGAATATGCAATAAAGTGTAAACAGGAAAATATATTTGGCTAATGATAAATTTTAATATATATATATATATATATTTCATATGATATATAATGATGTACCCAGACCCCTATCCAAGGCTTGTGACCTCCAGTTTATTTGAGCTTTCATTGGATACATTTGTTTAGCGGGTGGCCCGGGGTCAGCACTTCCGCATGCGCATAGCCCGTGCGCATGGAATGCACCATTGATTTCCATTAGAAAGACTTTCTAATGGAGATCAATGCAAAACATGTACATTACACATGTACTTGACTTTCCCACAATGCTTTGCGACTACTCTTTGTCCTGCATGTGTTTTTTTTTCTGTGAAAAAGATTAACAGATAGGGGCTTCCTAGGACAGGGCGAGGGGACGAACGGAGGATCGATCTTTCTATCGATTTTTGAAAAAAAAACGAACTTAAAAACAATATCTCTAAAAACATATATGTATCAATTATGCCTATACATCAAATATTTACTGAAGGAGATGAAATATTTTCTGAAAGAAACCCTGACTCGAAATGTTCAAGATGATGCAAATATTACGCACACATACTGATTATGGTAATGAGGTCAATATTGTACATCTATGCACCCGAAGGTCAAGAGGGCTATATTTTCAACAGCAGACGACCAAGGGATATAGTCTCGACCTGATAAGCCCATCCAAAGTCAATCACGTGTCACACAGTCTCAAGTCAGGTGACAAGCTATATTTAAACGCAATGTGACAAAAGCATCCCTGTGATTGTTCACCTTCTCTTACTTGTGACCTGCAGACTTCAGATTTGACTTTGGATAAATCCGATTTTGGAATGATTTAGTTGCCATTTATTCGGAATGATACATTACCATTAATTGGTCTTTACCCAACTATTACCATTACCCTACCAACTATTTGTACATTATATGCATCTGTTATATGAAGAACGATGGTTGGATTGGTTTTGCTACATCATTTAAGACTACATCTTTTAAGATTCGCACTTCTCAAAAAAATACTCCCAATCGGCAAATGCACACTATAACTATAAGTGTGGATACAGATTAAACACATTTTATGTTTTTCATAAGAAACCACACTTGCCCATCTCATTAATACCGATATATATTTTTTTAATCTAATGCAGGAAAGTAATAACAATGGCTATCAACGCTTTATTTAGTGTAGCAGCGTTTTAGCTGTTCCCGTTCACAGTCTAAGGTAGGAAGTCCTTTGCGTTCACCAAAGCTCCCTTCTCTTTGTAATGGGCCAGTAGATCCTTCCATGTGCGGTGAACACTAAGTAAGTACTTGTTGCCTTGAAGTGAAAACACACACATTTACAAGATTCCTTATTAGAAGATACATTCTCGACACGAATCAGGGTCAGATTTGACCTGACACCATTCCGGGTCAAAATGACATTTCTCTGAGTCACTTTTCCGAGCCATTTCTCGCGAGCCATTTGACCTGGAAAAGTGTCTTTTTACACACACACACACAAAAGTTATCATTTAAATTAAGAAAAGTGTCCTTTGTTTACAACAAAATTGTCATTTTGACCCCCAAAAAGTATGAATTAAAATCTAACCCAGATTTCAGGTTGATTCTGACACAAGACGTTTTCAAAATTGTAACATACCAAAAGATATATCAAGAAAAAATCAACATACCGCGTCAAAGTTAATACCCAGTCCAGCTAATTTAACATATTTAGATAAACTATCTCATATAATAAAAGATCGCAGTCCTGCAAGAACTCCAACTTACCTAGAATGATCAATCCCATTTTTGGCCGGGTGATGGCGACATTTATCTGATTCTCATCTGTGATAAATCCCAGGTTGCGTTTCTTCCAGGCTGTGGATGCTTTCTCGTCAATCTCGACCCGTGGAAGTGACCTGACCGTAGACAGAATCACGTAGTCCCACTCCTTACCTATAACAGGGACAATCAACCAACCAGAGCACACATTGAACATGATAAATAGTATACACTACTAAAAGTCCCGGGTCAAGTTAGACCCAGATCCAGATTTGACTTGACATTTTCTAGGTCAAAATGACACTTCTCTAAGTCACTTTCCAGGGCCACTTGAACAATAACAGTGTCAGGTCATATCCAACCTGGAATTCTGGGTCGAACCTGTCTAGTGAGTTTAAAGAGTGTATGTCGGGGCACGAGTCTCGAACTTCAACTAAGAGTAGCAACCATTACCATCCACACTTCACCGAGGTTTAAAGGGGAAAACTTAAATTAAAAAAATGTACATTCCATTCCTTTTTAAGATTTTCTAGAGCACGGCCAAACAAAAGTTAAAATCAGTCGTATAAGAATGCATGAATTTGACTACATCTATCAAATTATAACATCTATCGGAATATAGCATTCTTTAGTCATATTGTTTGACCTATATTGGTTAAAAATATGGAATGCAAAGTTAAAATCTAATCCCGATATAGCGAAACATCCAAGGAAATCTCAATTCTACTAGTAATCTTTCTCTTTCTGATGGAAACGGATCGTTTTGCAATCTGACCTCAGCGACCGAAAACAAAAAAGAGATATTTCTACATAATATCTCCCGTGTTTCTCAATTTTTAAGCGTATGTAGTACAGATATCCCTATTCGTAGATTCTATTAAAAATACAAAAATCTTTATTTTGGAAATAAATGGAAACGCAGCCTGCCATAAAAAGTGAAGCAATATGTTAGATTACCTTGACTGGTTATGACAGTGCTGACGAGGATGTCTTTCATGTTGGCTTCCTTCAGCCTTTCTTCGATCTGCGCCCTCTGGAGGCGATATTGGGTAAGAATGACGATCCTGTCTTGTTTCACGCCTAGACGAACCATGTTTGACGCAATGCGGAGCTGTTGAGCAGATATACCGGTGGAATAAATTTCAAGTGAAGAGTTACTTTGAGACAAAAATGCATTTCACATGAAAATGACAGTTTCCTGCTATGCAGATTTTTGCCAAAAGGCCGGTGAACCAAGGATAGCCGTCTTATTTGACCCGGTTGGAGCATACGAAGAGCTGAATTTCCATCCAACAATAGACAAAACAGAAGAGATATGGTAATAACGTTTACGCAATCTAAACGTGCGGTCCCGGTCGTACTGGCCAGGATTCTGGGTCCTATTTGACCCGATACTTTCTAGTCTCAAAATGACAATTTTGTGGGTCCAAACGACACTTTCGAAATGATACAGAGAGGTGTCATTTTGAACTGGAAATTGTCATTTGACATTGAAAAGTATCATGTAAAAAAGTCCCGGATTATTTTACTTGAACCTTTTGGAGTGCGTATATAAACAGAAGAAATAAACACTCTTTGGCTACTTCGTACTCATTTCAGCACGAAGCCCTTACGTACCACGTGAGTGACCTCTTGAGGGTTAGCCCGGGACTGTTCCCCACCCTCCTCGGTCCTGACACTTTGCTTATCCTCGCTTCCAATGTGATGACAAAACACAAGGGGGTTGCCCCGCCCACCGGGCCAGGTCTTATTCAGCTGCTGGGTTTGCCGTCTCACAATGTCTGCCGTAACCAGCTTCCCTTTGTAAAACACCTCTGATGGAAAGGCACATATTGATTCGTGCTGGAAAGAAAAGTGAAATGCTCCTGTGAAGTGATGGTAAAGTCAATCTCTACAGCGTGCCCCAATAAACATTTGTGCTGATTTGCTTAAAAGGTGGTTATACTAGCTTATCAAATGTTATATTATTTTAAAGCCAATGTTCTTGTTTGTAATTGGTGAAAATATCAAGGAAATCCATCATGCAAACCAGACATACCGTTAATTTTGAAAGGCTATATTATTTTCCTCCTGCCCTAGTTAAGCTTAGGCCAATACATTTCAGCTGTCAAAGAAGATTGAATGTTCATTGTCCTTCAAAATCTTTGTCAAAGACTCAAAACCTATATAGGCATTCCAAATGATATTAGATTTGATTATACATATAATGTTATGTACCCAAAATGTTATCTACGAACACCCTTATCCAAATGCAGCATAAAGGCCATGCAATATTTCAAGCACTGCGTAACACATACCAATAACCCAATAATTGTTATATGCAAGCAAATACTAAGTGTAGAATTCACATTGTGCACGTCAAAATATACATATATAGCCTTACCAAATCGAAGATATCTCTTGTTTGCATCGTTGGATTTTACTTTTTCACCAATTACAAACAAGACCATGGGCTAAAAAATGCTATAAAATTTGATAAGCTGTAGTTTGACCAACTTTTGAGAAAATCAGCGATTTCTATGATTATACACAATGTTCATCGGGACACACAGTACACATCTTCTCCATCCCTCCTCCTAAGATACATCGCAGTAATATCTAACGAGCATAACTTGAAAATTCCAACGACATTTGAGTATTATTGCCAAGTTGTTAAAAAGCATTGAAATGAACACCAAGGGAAGTTTCCTGTTTACGTCATTGTAACACAAGTACACTGTCATTATTTCTGTGGGGAACTGAAATATATGGGCTGGAAGTAAGTCAAGCCGCTTTGGCCACACCACAGCTGTGCGTAGTTGCGTAAACAAAATGTAGTCCATTATTAGGGGAACTGGGTTAACTTAACTATTTGGTTACTTTCTAATTAGAAGTAAGTTAAGGTTACATATTCTGGATGGGATCTGTCATTTAGATCCATTTCCGTGTATCTAGCAATGAAGGCACTAGTACTGTGGAGACACTGTGATAGGGCACGCGTTGTCATTCCTTTTTCTGCTTTCACGGCAAACCGGCCAGTCAAGCTCCGTAGAAATACATCAAAAAAGTCTCTTCTTTCAGCCAAACAATCGTGGTCTGGTGGACATCACTTATTGAGAGGATAATTTATCACTTGCTGATTGGTGAGTGACACTTTCCTTGACATTTTGTTGCCACATTTTCATAAACGGCAGTGTTTTGTGTGCTCACCGAGCTCGCTTTCTCACAACGTTTAATGTGTACGTGCATGGTACATGTACATGTACAGTACGTATGCACAGTATATGTACACACCGTGCGTGCGCTGCACTGATCTCTATATAAAGACTGGATAGCGGATATGCATACAACATTCACACAGTAGACTTTGCATATTGACCAATTCGCCCCCGGTCTCACGAAGATGGCCGCGTATATACGAACGTTCTACGCGTAAATACGCGCGCGTTGTATCAACAGTTGACGCGCATTTTGGTCACGTACACATATTATGATGTTCTAAAAAGGACACATTTCCGTAGTGATTATTATTTCAAAAACGCCGAAAAAGTGATTTGCGGCATTATAAAAGTAACCACGACGTTAGAAAAATTGTAGTAAACCTTGGTCAGTTGGTCAGTGGTGGTGGCCAAAATATAAGTCAAGTGAACCGCGACGTTACAAAAGAAATCATGCTGTCTATAAAGACGGCAACTTGTCCTTTGTAGATCACCAGCCGGTCTCACCAATATGGCGTCAAATTCGTACATTGTGCGGCTCTTTATTAGCTATCCAGTCTTTATATAGAGATCAGTGGTGCGCTGTCACAGAAGTTTCTCGTGGGTGACCTTTGACCCGCGCTGTGTATTTAGCAAGTTTGTATAGTCTCCACCGCAGTCGCGATATGCGCTGTGAGCGCACATCGTGTGAAATAGTATTTCGTTCATCATTTAAACTGACTATTAAGTTGGGAATTCTTTATATAATAAGTACACTGTATTGTTCTGCTGTACAACTGTAGGATTTATATTTCAATCGTTTGGAAGAATTACCACTGATTGTAATTATTTCATTATAATTGGAGCACTTTTTAATAATTGGAATACGTCTTTCTTTGTCTTTGCAGGGGTTCGGTTTTGTCTTTTATATCGGTCTTTAATTTTTTTGGTGGAAAATAAATCCCATAGTGAAAACAGTCTCCTGGATTCAAGGATTGACTCCCACCCCCCTGTTCGAACACTTGCCGGACAACCCAGGCCTAGTGCACGCCCCTACAATTCTAATAAAGAAAACGAAGGGGTTTCTTCATTTCATGACTCCGGTACATAGATATTCCACTAGAACATACCATGCGATACTGAATGGTAAGCATCGTGGCCTCCTTTCCGTATTTCTCTAGCAGCGATGTCTCCATGCCTAGCTGCACGGCAGTCCTCTCCTGAATGATAGGTCTGTAATTGAAGAGAACAGAAAGAAATAATGTCATTTTGACTTTAGTTCGACGCATTATTGTTAACCTTCTCTAGAGAACAAAATCCCAAGCAGCAGCTTACTGCCAGAGATTTTTGTTAATGTTTGTAATCACCTCAATGTGCGCCGTATGCACAAAACCTTGGCAGGTGCCTCAGAGGGTGCTCTTTGTTATTTTAATTTCGCAACAACTAAAGTTTTACTCATGCCTACCCATTCGCTGACCTCCAACACTACCCTAACGCATAAGGTTGATTGTTTACCTGAGTTGTTTGTGATCACCGATCAAGACAATTTGGCGTGGTTCCTGTCTCACATCCTTCTTGCGTGCAAAGGGTTGGTCTTCCGATTCTTCGATAGTGCCAACCAGTGGTATCAGAGTCTCTGGCTCGTTGCACATGCCAGCCTCATCCACGATACACTGTATAGCATTCACATTTCTCTGTATCCGTATGCTCCCAGCCTCATTGCATGTACACAAGACCACCTTGTACTTCTTGAGTTCTTCGGCCTACATAAAAAGGAAAGGAGACAATGTCTGGCTGTAGTTTTTGCCTCTTTTTTGGCAACCATTCATTTATATATGTAATTCCATATTTGTTTTCACATGGCAAATGCCATTATTTTTTTGGTATGTGCAGTTTTGTATGAAGCAATAATTGCCCGCAGTTCATTTTATGGACGCATCAGTAAAATGAATTGGGAAATCATGTGCAAAGAAAGTAAATTTAGACTGACTATACTTTGATTTGCCCCCAATAGACGCTTACAAACTGTTTGACAGGTAAATGATCGCGACTGTGTATATTTGTAAAGATGACTACCAAGTGGAATGTTCTTTTGCCAATGATCTGTGCCATCAGTAATCTGCATAGTCTGAATAATATTGATTAAACAAAATAGTGAAAGTGTCAAAACTGTGAGATCCATTTCAAATCTCTCCATTGGCCATAATCAGCTTATATTCGATACAATCTAATGAATTCGCTTTTTAAAGCCATAACGCATACCTCAGCTTCGTGAATGGCTCTCTTGTACTTGTCTTGTTCACGGAATGAAATCTTGTATCCTGGACTCTGGAATGTCTGCTCAAGGGCCAAGATTTCCTCACAGTGTCGGTTGGATGGCTGCCGGATGAGATGATGGAGTGAGATTTGCCTCAGATGAGGATCCATTTTGGTTTCTTTGGTGCTTCCAGCCTTCGATGCTCTTCCTGACTGTCCAGGTGTGGGATAGTCCTGCTGTTCAATCATGTTGTTGTAGACCCGAACTGCTGCTATGTTCAGTCGTAGCATGTAATCTAACAAGAAATGAGCGAGAAATAATTACATGCTTTTTATCTTAGGTGAACGCCGAACACTGATATTATTTTAAGATAAGAAAGCGAAACGAACAAACGTTGTTTAAAATAATATATATCAGGATATCTCACGGGCAACGACATCTACAGATTTGTTGGACGGTCCGCAATAGAGAACTTGTGGTCTTCTTCCCAAGGCAGGAAGCTGCTTGTTGACTTCCGTGAAGAAATATGTCAGATGGACACCGGTCACTGTCTTGCCCGTACCTGTAAAGTGATTAAATACAACAGTGGCTTGTAAATCTCACTGTCATATTCGGTAGAGTATTATTGTTGTTTATGGGTGATAATTATGATAAAGCAGTCAGCAACGTTAAACAACTGTAGATGCAAAACACTTTGATGTTTTAATATGATTATGTTAACAGAGTCCCAGGATCGTTCAGTAATTACAAAGTCACGATATCAAAACATACCTTTCCAAATCAAAATTCACAATATTAATATATTTTACAAACTTTCTTCTGTTTCTATATCAGTTACATGAGCTTGGTTTAGATTCAAGCCCAAGACTGAGCGTATCTTTTACAAATGTGCACAATCTGAATATGTCGGAATTGAATTGAACACAACTTACAAAAATTCGGCATGGACTTGAAAATCTACAATCATATCCATTTACAGATTTTTAAAACAAATTACATGAAACACGTTCAAAACTGGGGAAAAACACGTTAACATTATATTTCAAGCCAAAATTACTCTGGGTCATTGATAATAATCAAAACGCATTTAAAGCACTGGGGAAACAATCTGATGATGAATGACAATTATGAATATGGTATCTACAAGCCTAGTTTACCTGGAGGTCCTTGAATGACTGTGAAATGTTGCCGCAGAGCCTTCTTCAAGGCAGTCTGTTGTGATTCATTAGGTTTGGGAAATGGCGATCCTGTGATGGAAAAATCGTCGATCTTTCTACCTTCCTCGAGAAGCTTTCTGATGACCGGATCTGTGTGTAAGCATGCAGTTGCAGATCAAGCAAATGTTAAGACGTTTACAACTAGGTGGAAGTGCAAGAAATTTGTATAATTTAATAGTTGACTGAAGCAGCGTTCACTTAGACCTAACTTCAAAGATTTGTGTGGACAGTCACGAGATACCAGTATTATTGAAGGCTGTATCACATGTAGCTGAAAAATTAAGTAATAAAATACCTGTGTCGCTGACAGCAGGTATTTGGTGCATGCATATTCCTTTGACCAGCTCCTTCGCGTTGTGCAGATGTCTTACTGCAGACTCAAGGCGGCTATAAAAAAGCAAATTGATAGGAATTTTTTTTTTTTCGATTTGTCAAAATCAACAAAATTATTTCTTAAAACATCACAGTTGAAACGAAAATAATAATAAGTCATTAGATTTAAATTATATGCATGAGAAGCCGAGCTTGCGTACATCAATACCACAATTTGTATTGAAAAACTTAAAATACGAACTAAAATTGACAAATCAACTTAAAAGGACAATTGTGTCACGACATTTCAGACACATCAATCAGGAGGAAAATCGCAATGCTAAATGTGTTACTGATACTGTTACTCACATGTCTGAGCTGGCCTTTGGTATTAACTCGATGGTACATGTTGGTACTTTCTTACTCTGCTCAAACAACACATCTGGAAAAGGGGCCGAAAGTTGATTAACTCCAACTTTAACTTGGATCGTCCACGCGTCGGTTTTCTCTTCTATGTCCTCAACAAACGTAATGACTGCATGGGCAACGAATGTAGTCTTGGATGACTGAATGTGACTTTGACTGGATGTGGGGGTGGTACCAAGTTCGCGGAGCTTACTCTGTGCCTCGGAAGACAGAGGTACGTCCCTGTAGCGCATACAAAGGTAGTCACCCCGGTGCATACCAAAACTCCGATCACTGCAGAAAGTTTGCTTGATCATAAACGTCCCACTGTATTGTCGTTCTTGATCGTCAGTTTCAGCGCAGTGCCAGTCGACATCTACGTCATGGATCACGCAGCTTTCATCACTCACAACAGCGCTGTAGGCTGAGACCATCTGAATGATTGGCAGCCATACGGCCTGGTACTGTTCAACACTGCCTATGTGTGTAGGAGGGCGACGTGCTGCCTCTTTGGAAAAGCATTCAATTGCATTTCCTCGATGTTCCCCGCAAAGGCTCAGCTTCGGGGTGAGAAAGAAGAGCTGCATACATGGTGACAATATACCCCTCCGAACCTTTGCATTCAGCTGGACCTTCAACACATCGCCTCGCTTGAAGCTTCTCTGGAAATTTACGAAAGGTGAGGGTTTTCTTACATCTAAGGTTTCGCAAGTGACTTCTTCAACAGGAATGTCCTGATTCTCTGGTAGGTGTCGCTGATTTTGTCTTTTCGATTTTTTTTGTTCGGTAAGTTGTTGTTCCTCGTCTGCGCCCTTGACAGCCCTCTGAATCATATCGGTGTTCTGTGCCTGAATTGCTTCTAGAATCTCCTTCCAATGATCCGCAGAAATCTTCACAATCATCTGCTCCGTATCCAGAGTTAGCTGTGACACAAATCGTGGTTTGGGTGTAGTTGTACCACGCAACTCGAAGATCCTTTCTTTCCATCTTAGCTCCATATTAACATTTTCCCCATCAAACTCTGGCTTGCTGATTGGCTTCAGTAGATTCAGAGGACACGCTGACGGGAGGAAACGTCTGTAGGGAAATATCAGTTCCAGACTCGCGTCAGAAAATCCACCAACAAATACCTCGAACAACTGAGGGGCTTCTCGAAGCCTCAGAGCACACTGGAGGGCACGGGTCTTCTTCTCAAAAGCTTGGGAATTCAGTCGTTGTATGTTGCAATGATGAGAAATTGATGAAAGCTCATCTGTGTCATATGGCCGTTCTGACTGATGCAGAGTGCCTCCAGCTTTGTCGTCATTAATGGCAGCAATCAGCATTCGATGTACAACGAGATCAAAGTACCGACGGATCGGTGAGGTGAAGTGAGTATAGACTGACATGTTCAGCGAGTGATGACCTCTCCTAGATGTGTCTGGATGTTCTCCGGTGCTGATGTAGTCAGCAGTCTCTTGAATGATAAATAAGTCTGCTCTGGCCACGGCAAGCTGCGGGTGGTTTTCATCGCTGGTTATTAAATCGGTGATCGTAGTAATCTTGTCTTGCTTATCGACAGCTGAACGCAGTTGGTTCCACTTTTCTTTCAGTACGTACACGTCAACTTCATTGTGGACCACTTTTTCTAAAAGTCTCGACTGGAGTTCCAAACTGTTTGCAAGGTCTTGGGCGTGATTTTTCAACCATTGTTCAACATTTTCGTCACTTGGAGGAAGCTGCCTTCTGAGTGGGCTGCAGTCGGGATATACCTTCACAAGATAAATGGCCACGGCCTCGTTGGCAAGGAGCATCATTTCTTCTACCAATGAATGCGCCAGTGGATGTTGAACCTCATCTTCTTCAGCATCATGTGAGAAAGCAAACCGACCCATTCCCAGACGGATCCTTCTTCTCTCTTTTGCTAGCTCATTTAATGTCAAGATTTTTTCTGTGATAGTTATGTTATTGTTTCTCTTGCTGCTGGTCGACATGATGATTTCTTCTACGTACTCATAGCTCAGCTGGTTGTGGGAACGAATCACGGACCGCTCAATCTCAGGGTCACCCACCAAATTTCCCTTTCCATCTAGGGTGGCATAGACTGAAATGGTAAGTCTATCTTTTTGTGGCAGCAGACTACATAACTTGTTGCTAAGCTGTGGAGGGAGCATATTGATTGGTTTGGCGAGAGCACGATGTGGATAGAACGAGGTAGCCCTCGCTCTTGCTTCTTTATCAAGCGCGCTACCATGAGAGACGAAGTAAGACACATCGGCAATATGAATGCCGACTTTGTAGTTTTCTCCCACATAATCTACACTGAGAGCATCATCGAGGTCTTGGCTTTCTTGTGGGTCAATAGTAAATGCGAATTGGTTTCGTGCGTCACATCTAGACTGAATTTCAGCTTCTGGAATCTCCCAATCATCCGGAAACTTGCTCTCCACCTCCTCAATAATGTCAGATTTCCAGTCATCCTTTACTCCATAAATGAGCTTCAGAATGCGAAGGCCCGTCTCTTTGCATTCTGCTTGTGGGAGTTCTTCCGTGACCACACCCATGGGGTAAGGAGCATTGGCAAACCACTTCAGATATTCAACGACGAAGAGCTTGTGAGCTCGATCTCTCCTGGACACCTTCACATTCCTCACAAAGGGCGAGTCTTCCTGAAGTTCCCTGCTGTAACGGTAGATGGAAACGGTACAAAGGTCCGGTGATGCACGACTGGTCTTTATGTTCCCTCTTTTCTCTTCATCTCGACTAAGGACAAAGAACTTGGGGAGAGTGCGGTCAAGCGGAACCATTTGGTTGCCTATATGCTCGTCAAGCTTACAGACTACTTTTGATTTGAGGGCGGATCGAGCTGCCCTCTTGCACACGCAGATGACCTTCCCGTATTTTCTTTCGCTTTCTGAGACCACAGATTCGCGCGTGTCGTCGAATATTTCCACGATAACCTCATCTAAATTCAAGGCTCTTCCTCGTCTTATTTTGCTGGTGATGGAAATCTTCCCACACATTCCCTCATCAAGCGGGATGGCGTATGTGTGCCCGGACTTGTCACAATGGAAAGAACAGATCTTGAACTTGTCTGGACGTTGTTCAACTTGCTTGTAAGCGTTCTGGCGTTTTCTTTCGTCATGCTTGTCATTTCTCAAACCTTCACCAGAATCTGACTCTTCGGATTCATCAGCTCCCCTCTTGTCTCCATCGGTATACTTGATGTCTAGAACTATGCGATCGCTTTCCCGTATCATCCGAAACTTAGGAGGCTTCCTTTTCCATTTAACAGACACCTCCCTTTCGAATTCGGCATAATCGGGTTCGCCTATATCGACACCAGGATCCTCCTCTGACTTTTTTCGTCTACGCTCATCGTGGCTTATCTGCCTGTACAGTTCTCGCATGATGCCATCGGAGAGGATTGTATCATCGTCTGGCAGCCATGGGTCATCAATTGGTTTCAATGCTGCAGGCTCTGGTGAGTAGGTCGGTTTGTTGGCTTCTGATGAATGACCCTTTGGAAGAAGCTTGCCAGTTGATGTAGAAGCAGGCTGGAAGACCGGGGCCGAAGGGTTCAAACGCTGTTTAGCTGCTTCCATCTCTTGTTGGATTCCTGCGATAGTAGTCCCCTGTAAACAAGCGTATTGTTTGTGATACTTAAGGTTTTCAATATGGCATATGGAAGCACTTAAGGTGCTGGATTTTTGTCACTTTTTGGAAATTCTACTGTAACGTATGCATGGTCTGACCTGGTCGGTAAAAGAAAAAAACAACATCAAAATTGCGTACCGGTGGTTGCAGTGTTTTGTTGTCCTCGCAATCTTTCAAGTACCTTCGCCATATCTTGGAGCAATCGCCCACCGAGCACAAAGTCGATGGATCACCTACAACTATCAGAAGAGACTGTGCTCGTGTACACGCTGTGTTGAGGAGTCGGGGATCAGACAGAAAGCCGTAGTCGAATGTGTCGTCCGGGCGATTGGCCGGGCTTATCTTTGAAACAAATGCTGTTGTGTCGGCTTTGTTCAGCGTGCTTCGTGTTCTTACCGTGCTAATGATCATCACCCGATACTGTTTCCCTGTGTGGTATAATAACAAGAATAACGCACTAATCTACCACCATTAGTTACAATCCATATTACTTGACAAAGTAATGAAAAATGATTTCTAAATTTGTTAATCGTAAAGTTCAATGACTTACCCTGGGCACTCTGCACTGGTAATACATCTATGCTTCCCATCCCTCCTTTTCGAAGTTGAGTACGAATTTGCCGTATCTTCAACGATGAAAATTAAACTCATGATGTTTTAAAAATCACTATCAAATGAACTTAAAAATGTAATAAACAATATTTAATTTAAGTCAGGAGGATCTAAAGAAGGCTCAGAAATTTACAACGGCACCATTTGAGAAAAAAATTATTTCCAAGCGGTTGAAATTTAAAGGTACGTATAATAGAAACATCGGTGGGCACTCAGAAACGGACCAACATATTTAAGGAGAAAACCTTGCCCAAACTGAAGATATGGCTGGTACCACTTACCCAGTGAAAATGTTCCGCCTGAAACAATCGTTGACAGTGGTTAAAAAAAAAGTGTGCCCGCGGGAACAATATTTAAAAGTTTGATGATATTCGTTAAATATCGCGAAATGTACCCATCCCACTGGAACTTCAACGTCACATGCACAAACCAGCTGAATGAGAAGCATGTCTCGAGTGATGGGGATTGAGCATGACAGGGTGCGATCCAAGAAATGAAGCGGAATCTTTTGATTTTGAAGCGCTTACATTGAATCCACTTACGAGGCAAAAAGTTATGCGAAGGTTTCCCCTGTTTTCTCAAGATGTATACAGTATCAACCTAGCTAAAACGGGTTAGTTGTTATGCACCCTTTTTAAGATTACCAGCAAATTGATTACTTCACACATAAAAAATTAACAAAGAGCAAGTGATCCTCAATACTTTTAAGAATGTTTAATATACCTGCATTTTATACGATGCTACCACACAGATGCCATTTGTGTCAGGGTTCCCCCACTTATCTTCGGGCCAGTCGCGAAGCAAGTCCCGCACAGTTGACACTATCTCTGCTACCTGTTGGAACCGAAAAAAAACACCTTAAATATAACTAGATAAGGTCGTTATAAGTGGAAGCAAATGACATATAAATGCTAATAACGTTTTGTGAAAGAAAACCCATAGATTTGAATCTACCTCGTAGTGGTTGACGTACGACATGCCAATCTTCTGATCCTCTCCTTTCACCGTGCAGAACACCAACGGATGCTGGAATCTCGGGTGTGGCTCGTGTTTACCAACTGCTTTCATGATACGACCTGTGCGGGTTCCATAGTAAAATGACCCGCAGATGAAATCTAGCATCTTCTGACAGGTCCGATAGTTTGAGGACAGCAGAACACTGCCAACCTTCAGGTAGAATAGACGCTCCAGGAGAGATATGTGGAACTTAGCATGTCGGGCGGTTCCAGAAAATACCTTGAAAAGCATTAAACAAGTCATATTTACTTTATAATTAAGAAATCGGGTAAACATTGTAAGGATAAAGAGACGTAATCATACCATGTGGAACTTGTTTCAGGTTCGGAATTCGAAACTAACTCGGTACAGACCCACGACCCTGCTTTTAAATCCTGCTTTTAAATCTTGTCACACAACTTTAAAACTGAGTACTCGCATGAAAATCACTCAAGAATTATAATACCGTCAAATAGTCCAGTTTAGTTAGCTGCTTAATTTGAATTGAAACTTAAATATTACAGAAAACGATAAGTGAGTTGTGAAGCCTGAATTGTGTGGTTACCTTAGGGCTCATCTGTAGATGATCTCCTGCCAGAACTACGCAGGTACTTCCTGTAGCAAAGGTCAAAGGTTGCAGTACTTCCGTCTCCAATGCCTGTCCCGCTTCGTCTATCAAGATATGGGTGAAGTGACCATATAGCTCTGACGATGGGAGCCTGTAAGATGTGGTGAGTGTCGTAATAACAACACTACTCGCTTTGATCTTCTCCACGGTTGGAATCATAACCTTACCGTCTGCAACTTTGGTGTATTTTAGGACGATGTCACCAATGGTGTTGATGTCTCGAGTTTTTGCGTAGACACGAGTCATCTGCTTGATTTCTTTTGCTTCCACCAGCTTGTGCAGATGTTCGGTGATGTATAAATCGGCAGCACTAACAGAACAACAAATACTCAAAAGTTATTTTTTTTTCTATTAAATTTCTCTCAATTGTCTTTTGTGCATTATTTGGTGAAATTAGTATTTCAGTATAAACATGAAGATGAATTTTCTACTAACAGAGTTTGATCAAAATTTGCTTTTATAGTTAAAACGTAAGAAAATTTTGGGAAACAACCGCAGCCCAATTTGGCTGCGCCTAGTAAGCACACAACAGTACTGTCTGCAAACAAAGCGTAGACCACATACGCAGTATTAAATTAGTGTACATCAGCAAAATGCACGCTAGACAAGGAGGAAACTGTAAGCAAATCAACAGTTTTCTACTCTAGGCCTAATAACTGTTCAGCAGCGCCATGAAATTGGCCCAGAATGAAAAGTACCTGTTAGAGTGTGTGCAAATGAGAATCTTGCTGTCCGGACGTTCCTTTAAGGTACGTCTTACTGCCGTCGCCATAGTATGAGTCTTTCCTGTTCCAAACGGTCCACAAAGAAGCACGGGTCCAACTCCATACGTTGGACTTGCTTTACCTCCTTTGTGCCGACAAATGAATCTCACGGCTCTTTCCTGGTGAGCATCCGTGTCTGGTTGCAATGGTTTGTCAACGCGTGGAAGCCTTGAAGAAATCAAAAGTTTTCATAAGAAGGTTAAACTTATTCTCCGGATTGGGAACCGTGGATTCCAACGGCACAGTATTTTGAGCTGAGGTAGAGACCTCCACTATTGTCGCTTAAAAAAGAAGAGGAAAATTACAAGGTGAGCAAATAATGAATTCAGTATGTAATACCGTCTTCGTTGAGCGCATTATGGGCTTAGAAAGTAACATGCTTTATTCTTCATGTCTTTCTAACCTTTTTGATGTAAAAAGCTGGACTCGGATTCGCTTACGATTTTTTATTATACCAATTTCACATGCTAATTTTGATTTTCAAATCATAGTCAACCTTCTCCTGTTTGGATCCAGGTTTCACGACCTGAACTTATGGTCTCAGTGTTATTGCAGCTCAAGACTGCAGCATGAGCCCTTCCCTGCTCCTAAGACGTAGGTCCCGTGTGTGTTGTGTAATGCACGTAAAAGAGCCAAGTAACACTTATCGCTAAAGAGAAGGGGTTTGCCCCGGTGTTTCTGGCAGTGGCTGCAATATGCGCCGCAGCACCTTGTAAACCCTTATAAGGTGCTACATAATGGGTCTCATATTTTTCATAAACTTCATTTACCTGTCTTGAATAGTAGACACAATTTCTTGTACCTAATTATTGTTGGTAGATAGGTGCGCTATATAAGACTCCGGTATTATTATTATCATTATTAATATTATAACTCACTTGTTTAGGTTTCCTATAGGTGGGAAAACCATATCCATGTTCTGAAGGCGATCAACTGCCGAATGCATATAGCAGAGAGGGAGACGATCCAACTGAAGTTGAATTTCAACCCGGTGTTCGGTTTTACCTCTGAGGTCCATCTCCTTCACGCATGTGGGACTGAGCTTGATATACAGCGTGTCTTTGTCTTGCTTCCTAAAGTCATTTTGTTCGTCCAATATGATGGCTTCATATATCTGAAAGAGAGAAAATATCCTTCGTCATTACCCTTATAAAAATGTCACAGAATTATCACATAGTACTCACTCAAAGTCACAGTAATTTCCACCATTTGATCACACCATTGACAGTTCACAATGAATTGTGTTAACAAACGTGGATTTCCTGTCAATTGGGAACTGCTTGTCTGCATTATTTTAAGTGTCTCTGTGATTGACAGAGTCAGTCGCAGAGTGAAACATTTCCCGAGAGGTCTCCAATTGGATTCGTGAACAAAACATATGGGAGGTCTTCCTAAAAAGTACAAACAAAAGAGGGACAATAGGAGGTCCCCGATTACAGGCAAATACACACTAGTCTTGTGTGCCTGTGTGTGTGATCTGATATACCGTGCCCCCTGGAGACGTGCACACAATAGGGAACAAAAGATTGTATACGTCTCCGCAGGGCAATTTCTATAGATGAATACGTCTCCACAAGATTTTCACGAAAAAGATATATGGATTTCCTCAAAAATTAGAAATTTCCAAGGTTGGTTGATCCGTTGCAAATGGTAGAGTTTTAGAAAAGGGATATTTAGTCCGAATTTTAGCCAAGGAAGTTAATTCTGGTTGAAATAAGAGCTTTTTGAAACTTCACTTTTAAACTCGAAAACTTTACTACACGAGAACAAAGAAATGTCTCCACAAGAATACAAATTTCAGTATATGTGTTTTATCAGTATGAACACTCAACACTGTGAATTGTTTGTGAATGTAATTTCGTGAAATACAGATGATTGGACGTTTTGTTCGCAGTCAGTGACCAGTTGGGGTTTTAACGCACGGAAGGGAGAGGTACACTCTGCTAAAAGTTTACATCGCCAAAACGAGGTCTAGTAAAACTGTTTTAAAAGTGAGACAGCAGTAGCAGTTGTTTTTTTTTAAATCGTTTCAGCATACAGCAGAAAATTGCTGAGCTAATCTATACCATCCTATACCTTCTTCGAGTTAGCGAATTTCAGCATCATCTTGCGCACGTTCCTCTCAATGATTTGGCTGGTCTCCGAGTCGTCCATGAGTGCACTTTTCAAATCGACTTTTCCAAACAGGCTGCCGTCAACTGCATAATCCACATTGGTCGCTGTCGGGGTCTCACGTAAAATATGGTCAAGGCATTCTAATCTGCTCTCTGAGGCAAACCTATTTTTTTCAGATAGAGAAATAGTGCTAATAATTAGCAACTAAAATAAAGCAAATATTGTATGCTTAACAAAATGTTCATTTTTCCCTGTTGACTCATCTCGTAAGTCTTTAGCCTTTTTGTATTACCGTTTTAAGGTTTTTCTATTTTCTTTCTCCCTCTGTTTCTCATCTTTGTCTCAATGAGTATCAATAAGTGCCTATAGCTTCTTGCCACTTCTAAATAAGACGGGAGTCACGTTGGCGTAGCGGTACTTTCCTCGCCTTCCTCCGCTAAGACCCGGGTTCGAATCCCGCCTGGACCAATATGTGGATTGGGTTTTCAGTCCCTACCTGATTCCGTGGGTTTTTCCCAGAATATTCTCCTGGGCTTTCCTTCCACCTCTAAAAATGTAATTTCTTCTCATTGTCTTCTCTCCACAGGTTTCTTCAGGCTTGTGAGCTATTGTGATTAGGGCGCTTTCGAGGAATCCTTGGTTTCATTGCTAGAAATGATTAATAATAATAATAACGAATACCCATCTCATTCACTCACTTGGATATTTTGATATTACACTCCTGTTCTTCCAGGTACAGCATTCCGTGCATGTACTTTCTGTAGTTGTCCCGACTCAGCTCTCCTAGATCTTCAATGTCTAGTGGCGTTGGTACTTCATAGTCGTTGAGCAGCTGCCTTTCACTAGTTGAAGGTTGTCGGTCGCTTTCCGAGAATCTAACAATCTCCGGGTGTATGTCAGTCCACAGCTCAAATTTGTTCTTTTCCCCGCTTATCTCATCGGATTTGTCGTGCGGTGTATGCGATCCAACCAGGACCTGAAGATAATGATTTAAGAAGTTGGCCTCATCTGAATATTTTCCGGACATTTGGTTAAAGGCTAATCGTCTTCGGAAGATTATATAAAAAGCTACAAAAACTTGAAGTATTTGGTTGCATATACTGCTAAAAGATAATCGCCGATCAACACAGTATTTTGACAAAAGGACTTTATATAGCAGACGACTAATTTTCAACTTGGTTTCTTTACAATTACATTGTACTATCTAATTCTGTCACGGGACTTTTAAAAGTGTAGATTTGCAAAACAAACGGCAAAACATACCTGAAGTTTCCGGACAAGATACGGTTCAGTACCAAGGTCAAAGAGGACCCACTGGGAGAAGCGACCGAGGATCTGAGAGCGAAAGATGACGTCAAACCGATATGACCTCCTGTCCTCCTCTACAATCAGGTTGCCAGGACACACCTGAGCCTCGCTTTCATTAGCAGGCTGGGACAACCTGAAGTAGAGTCTGTTGTCGTCGTAGAACAAGCACACACGCTTCAGGAATTTCTATTTAATAAACACATACCGATAGTTAAGCTTCAGGATGCCTGGTCATTTTTAAACTTACAAAAAAAATACAGACTTACTTAGTAGATTGTCATTTTGTACTGTGAAGTTCACTCACAAAATAGTATCACTTTATTTCAATTTTGTCCCATCGTTCTTCTTTGCCTACCCTTCCTCAAACTGCTGCGCATCATTTACTGGAACAAGTTATTCTCAACAACAACAATGAGAGTGTTTGTAATTTAACTGTGCGGTTTTTCCAATTACATTTTCCGAGGTCTTGAGGTCAAGGGTGAATGACCAGGTACACGTGTATGCCGACTCCTTATCCTTCGTCTCTGTATCCAGAAACTGGACAAGATCTTCAGAGCAGTCGATGCGGACTCCAGGTAACCGCTCTGCAATCTGCGAAAAATTAAAAAGGAGTGTTCTACGCCTGTGGTTCCGAATTTTTCCAACAATTACTATTATAAACCGGTATAGACCATTCCCGGGACGCTGTCAATTTCATAGCGAAGTCCCCTTCAATGGCGAAAACATTGTGCTAGAAATGTAACAGAATGAATATGCACATATTTGGGGGTCTCGTAATTTGGGGGTCTCGTGGATTCCATTGCTAATGCACGTAAAAAGTGTGCTCGCGGGCACAGTTGTGAAATGATTGTTTTCTTCCAAATGATATCATTCTAGACGGAATAATTTCACAAGGTATTTGCTGTCATCCTATCTCTACTTTGAGCAAGGTTTTCTTTTGTTTTTGCAGTAAATCATTTCCGGGTATTATTATCGGTACCAATGGGGCCGTGACATCAAAATTAGCGACAGACCAACTCGGTCCGGTGCTGGAATTTTTCCCGGTCATCCGCCAGACGCAAAATCGAAAACCATCTTACCAATGGGGCGCTGTTCAAAAACAGATAATGGGACACCTGACACACCTCCTTTAGCGAGTATCGAGGTTCGTACTTTCAGATTAAGACTGGTTTATTTACCGCCCCTTCTTTTGGAGTCTAAAATATTATTGACCGGGTAACCGCTCCTACACTCGATGTATATATTAAGGTGGAGTTCATCTAAAAAGCTGAATTAGCTAATATCTTACCACATCCTTCCCTTGTGAAGCAGAGAAGTTGAATTTATCGAGGACTTCGTCCATGAACGCGTACAACCTGCACTCCTTGGCTTTCTTCACTTTCATTATTCGATACCGATGTCTTTCTTTCCATTCCTCTAACTCATCGACACCGTGTGCTTTCGTGCAGTCAGTGAACACGCATCTCCCATTTTTATTCCTGGAAGACCAAGACTTTCATTAAAAATGGCATGCTTAGTACCCATTTTCACTTACTCAAAATGAATTTTCAAATCAAATGGCACTTGACTAGATCTTTTGCAACAGTCCAGTGAGGACACCTCCAATCATTATCCGTACATTAAAGCAAAGAATATATTAAATTGTATTTAGTTCCAAAAAGACAAACTGGTGACTAACTCTGAACATTCTTGGTACTGTCCGTTGACGACATTCCAGGGCGGGCTGCGATGCTTCCACTGGTCTTTCTTGTCTTCGTCTGAGTTGACCTTTGACCAGTGATCCATGGTTTGGATGTGCTGCTGAAGCTGCCATTGTTGCGGGTAAGATTTATCGCAGTAGGAGCAGCGATGCTGAGGCTGAGGCTGGGGGCGTTTGTCACGCTGCGACTTCGAAGGGAGTGTTTGTGACATGACGTCCGGGGATGCACGCCCGGCGAACACTACGTCATCTAACTTGGTGACTGATAAATAAAACCAATATTTGCAAAGAAGACAACATCATGACTTTAGCAAAACTTAAGTTTTACTTCTGCAACTACGGGAAATACTGATTTTTTCCTCGATAACGAGTGTTCGTAATGATAATTCTTCCAAAGACAACATTCACAAAAAAGTGTCTTGCCAAAGGACATAGCTGACAAACTCCTCGATTATATTCTGACTTGCACAGCCTAGTGTCCTTTATTTTTTAGTCTAGGGTGTCATAAAATTCTCTCATAAGAAATACTGAACCGCTGCAAACTGCCTGCTGACTGGATTGATCTAAACGGAGGGCCAGGGGAAGGGTGAGATGGGTGATAGAAATTGACCTACAATATACAAACTCGCACCAATAAGAGTGTGCGGCATTGGCTCCTATCTTTATCAAGGATCGTTTGCCTTAGTAAAAAGATCCTACGACAGACATGTCGGGCCCCCTATTGTGGAGTGTTTCGAACGAGGTTCTGACAAGCAAAGTGGTTTCTGTTTAGCACATAAAATGACACTGTTACTCGTCATTAACGGAATAGGTCAAGTTTACCACATTATTGTTCTAAGACTTACGTTTGTGTCTCCCCATATAGATCCACAGGTCTTTCTCTTCTTTGAAGTGTGGAAACCAACATTCTCCACCACGCTTGCAAGCATCACCAGATGTACAAAGTGTCGGAATAGGGGGTGCGTTCGCATGTCTCCGTCGCACCTTACGCCATTTCTTCTTCTCGCTGGAGTATACAACCACCATCCTGCATCTCTTCCAGTCGTGTTCGCCTGGTGAGCCGGCACACACCAGTGGCTTGCTTCCTAATCGTTGTTCAACTACATCACCTCGTGAATAACATATCCCACACACGTGTTTGATGTCACAGTGGAAGATTGGAAGAGATGCGAGATTTTTCGATGTTGCTTGGTAAGCAGGGCACTGATCTTTTGTCTTCTTGGAACTTCTGGTCTTTTCGTGGCTGAAATTTGACCAAATAACATTTTCATATTTTTCTTATCAATGGAACCATCGCCATTCCAACAGTCCAAGTGTCAGCGAGCATACTTACTCCATTCTGTTGAAAAAACTAAAATAGGTTCTCCCCAACAAACATAAAAGTATTCCAAAGTCTATGTTTCCCGGAATGGGGAATCTGTTGATGATCTCACCGACATAACGAACATTTTTCAACAATCGGAACACGTATGGCCATGCAGTAATGCCCCTCCATGTGAACTTGAAGTGGGCAACAATATCCACTCCTTTGTTACAGATTCACTTGATGAAAAATGCTTACTAGAGATTACAGAAGTCTATGTTCAAAAGCAAATATCATCAATGTTGGTCGGAAAAGCAACAGGTCCAGATGGAATAAGTGTGAAAATGATTAACATATCGTCTCCGTACATAACTAAATCCTTAACACACACATCTTTAACATCTCGATAAGATGCGAACAATACCCTAATGAGTGGAAACAAGTTACGCGTAAACAGGTTGCGCCTATTCACAAGGGTGGAGACAAGTGTAATACAACTAACTTTCGGCCTATTTCAATTTTCAATGCTGCCGATTGTCTCTAAGATTCTAGAAAGATGGAAACACTCAGCAGTCTATTCATACCTTGATGAAAGAAAGCTGATTCCTTGTTGTCAGTCAGGGTTTAGGCCATTACATTTAGGCCATTACACTCAACTGAAACTACCTTACATGATTTAAGGAACACATGTTTTCAGGCTATGGAGCGTGGGAAAAAAACAGGCACTGTTTCTATAGATTAAAGTAAAGGATGTGACTCTGTTAATCATGTGACTCTCCTAGATGAACTTGAACGGGTAAATATCTCAATCTCTGTTATCAACTGGTTTAATTCATACCTAAGTCAACGTGGTCAATCTGTGAATATTGAGGGCAACATATCTAATGCCATACCACTTAAGACCGGCGTACCACAGGGATCAAGTTCTACCAGTGTTGCTGAAAAAGAGAACAACTTGAATACAGACCTAGCGAGAATTTACGATTGATGTGTCAGAAACAAACTTACTTTAAACGCCAGCAAAACAAAATCCATGATTATTGGAACTATAATAACAGTCTGCAGTATTGGCCTTAATGTCAGTATTGCTGGTAGTCCAGTTGTAAAGGTGAATTGTAACTATTTAGGTGTTGTTACTAATGAAACTTTAGGTTGGGCCCACACGTCGACACGGCAGGGACCAGTTTTAACTGTTTAGGCATAGCCTGGGTAAAGAAATGTAATAATAATAATAATAATTATTATTAATCATAATAATAATGTGGGGATCTGCCCCATATCTCTTACATTTTAAACTGCACTGTTAATTTCACCTTTACTTTGTTGCGTAGCAACGAGAAGTTGGTTTACTTTTGACTTTATATTATTCCAGCGCCTGTATAGGAAGTATTTCTAGCTACTTTTTCCAATGAACAGTTCATTCAGACACATATAGGTGGGAATTACTTTCTAGTACTGCTTTGTGAATTATCTTGAATCTTTTTGACATTGATTTAATGATGATTCGAGCCATTTTATAATCTTTGTATATTTTACCGCACAAGGATGTCTAAACTAGTCTTTCGCGTTATTTGGTTCCGCGGGGGTCTTGCCCTTTTATGTGGCTGAAGCCCTGTGGTGTGGAGCTCACGCACTATTCCGGCAGCAAAATACATAACAAAATATTGGTTCTGAGTCTACAGCCTGGTCCACTTGGAGTGTCCGTCCACCCCTTGGTGTCCGGTTCAGTAGGTTTGAAGAGTGTTTGGTACATACTTGCGACGGTATTCTGCATTTTTCGACCTTTATAATTGTTTTAACTTTACCAAATGCACATAGCACAATGGGCGGGCCGTCACCGCGTTATAGTGAATTTTGTTTTAATGTTAGGCAAATTAGGACAGAGTTATGGGAATTTCTGCTGTCCCCATAGCGTCTTCGGTCTCCATAGTACCGTGGGACAACACACGCGTGTAGCGGCTGTAGCCCCCACAACTACGGAACAAGTGAGGGTGTGCACGCTGTATGTACACACGGTACGGTGTAGCTTAAAGGTAACAATCCTTTGTGATTGCGAGGATACTCGCTAGGAGGTGTAACATGCATGTAATTCATTAGTACTTATGTTTTTATGTAGATTTGCAGGGTGCGGTTTGTTTTATTATCCCGATTCTGTGGTGGTTGGAGGGCAGCAATAACAGAATATTGTGACATCAAAGCTAAACACTGTCAATCCAGTCCATCCCTTCCCTTACTCGGAGTTCATTCTCCAGCCTTTGCAATAGGCTAATGGGTTTTAAAAGGAGGCTAGAGGCCTCATTGGAAAGAGCTTGCGATTAAAACAGAACATCACCCCCACTTATAGATATTTTAATTGCGATTGAGACGGTTTCAGTAATTATCCATTGATCGTAATCACCTCCTTACCTTACAACAGCTGCTGAATGTTCAACTTCGTTTCGTTTGGGGGCATTGCCAGTTTGTTTCTTAGAAGACTTCACAGGCACTATTGAAGAAGGTACTCGTACTGTCTTGTTGCTTGATTTCTTTGGCCTTGCCCCCTGTCTTACCCACTGTTGTGATGAAGATGATGCAGGCCTAGATACTGTGGGAACAATAAAAATGTCATTGAACATGAATAGTGCTCTCGCTTTGAGACCTAAATGTAGACCGAAATATTGTAACCTCCCTGCCCCGGGTCTGGTCAGAATGACGGCACAAGCACTTACTGACGATCAGATGACCAGTGTTCCTAAAATTTTAGTGGATGAGTGGAAGGGGTGGATTACTAGTGGATTGGGGATTGGAGTGGAACCCACCGTACGACTGTAACAACATACAATTGGAAACGAGAAACTAATTTGACCTCTGTATTGGTCAAACTTTCTTTCACGTCAGGAGAAACAGAAGTGCTAGAAGTGAATTTTCTTTATTAAATCCTGCACTACCTTTAACAGGTCGGGTATACAATTCTTAGTTCACAATTTAAAACATGCACGAAGTTAATAGCCCAATCATAATCTACCAATAGCTCGGGAACCAGTCTACTCACAGGGCCATGCACATACTATAATAATCCTCCAACTGGGCAAAATCTGTCATCACCATACAGTTTGTGTAATATTTACAACATACATATGTTATTATTATTATTATTATTATTTTTATTATTATTTATTCGACCTCAACAAAGAATTACAAACAGTGATACAAACCCAAACAAAAATTACACAAAGGTGGTTGAAAACGCACAACAAAAGAAACGTATAAACATGTAATTTAAATTATTAAAAAATCATGAAGTAGAGGGCATGCACTTAAAATGACAGCTGGAGTGGGCTTCCCAAATGGGAGTTGAACAATAACCAGTAAGACACAAAAAATCACAAAGAAAACGATTATGTGGGTCAGGGACCGCAAAAGCGAATCTAATCACTGTTGCTCGGAAGCATGCGGACCCGCACATAATGACAAATGAACGGGACAAAAAAGGCAAACAAATGCACAAGAACAAGATTACAAATGGCAGGGAAATAACACAATAAAGGGAAGCCCGAAGATTAAACTTAAGATTAAATAAATTGCGCTATAATGTGAGCTGGTCATGGAAGTGTGTCTTGAGACTGGTTAGAAATGAGTTTAGTGAATTAAGCACTGCAGAATCCCGGATTGAAGTAGGTAAGTGATTCCAGAGTCTAGGAAAGCGACGGGTTGGTGAATGGAATAAAGCATCAGTACGAGCAGGAAGATGACGAAATATGAGGATGTTAGGATGACGTGGATTAATATGAAGGTTCTCATGGACGGATTCACAGTGTACTAGACCGTATAATACCTTGAATACAAATGAGCACAGAATACAATTTCTTCTGGAAGTGAGCATGGACCAATTGAGCTGATGGAGTCTTTCCTCATATGACATTTCCCCCCTCCGCTGACCTAGAACAATACGGGTAGTTGTGCGTTGAACACGTTCAAGCTTTTGTTGATCAGCGGTGGTATAGGGGTCCCAAACAGGTAAGCCATATTCCAAAATAGGAAGGACAAGGGACCGGTACAAGCAAAAGATGGCAGATGGAGAAGCTCCACGTGCTACTGTCCGGATAAAGCCTAAAAGACGGTTAACTTTTCACATCACAATATTAAGGAATTGAAGGTAAATGTCACAAAGCTTTCCCCATAAAACTACTTTACCTGTTTTCGTAAAGGTTGGCTCTGCACCATCACAAATCTGTTTAATCTTCCGTTTCTTTTCGCTGGGCCTGGAGGAGGTGTTAATCTGGAAATCAACAATTTCTTTGTTACATGTAGTTTATTCACTTATACAACTGTCTTTAATCCCAACTGATTGCGTTAATATGTGCACTTACAAATTAACAATCTAAGCGAGGTGGCCAGTGGTATTGTTACCATATGGAACCCTGCAAAGTGGGTTTTAGTGTGACACCTATGCAGAAATGCTAATTCTATGTCGATTCAATTTATTTGATCCAGAATGTCTAAAAAGTTCGTAGAACAAGCTATAGTGATGATGGGAATACGTAACCAGTCTAATTTACAAGTGACAGTCAGTCAGTGAGATAGGTAACCAGTCTAATTGCCAAGTGACAGTCAGTCAGTGAGATACGTAACCAGTCTAATTCTCATGTGACCATCAGTCAGTTACTAGGTGACCAGTCTCCTCCCCATGTTGAAGTCAGTCAGTGAGATAGGTAACCAGTAGCCAAATGACAGAAAGTCATTGAGATGGGTGACCAGTCTAATTCACAAGTAACAGTCAGTCATTGAGATAGGTAACCAGTCTAAATCCTAAGTTACAGTCAGTCGGGGAGATATATAACTAGTCTAATTCACAAGAATGACAGTAGAGATAGGTGACCAGTTTAATTCACAAGTGACAGTCAGTCATTGAGAGAGGTAACCAGTCCAAATCATAAGTGACAGTCAGTCAGTGAGAAATGTACAAGTCTAATTCACTGGTGACAGTAGATGACCAGTCCAATACCCATGTAACAGTCAGTCAGTTAGATAAGTAACCAATCTAATTCACAAGTGACAGTCAGTCAGTCCGTGAGTCAGTTTGTGTCAAGTCGGCCAGCCCTCTGGGGCCAAAATACAAATAGCATAAAATGGTTTACAATTCCTCTAATAATATTTTAGCAGGTTTGTGCGGTTTGAATCAAAATAATTTCCTACCTTACTGGTTTTGGCAATTTCTTTATTGTGAGAAGGAATCCAGTCTGTGTCGAAAGCCTTTGAATCCGACTTCCGTTTGGTTGCAGTTGCAGCAGGCATTAGATTGAAATGCACATCCAGTAGTCTTATTATGTATATTACTTCGGGGTTTGCTTTTACCTGTAAAATATTTAATAAGATAAATGAATATCGAATTCGCACCTCTATGTCATTATCATAATGGGTCAATATACGTACAAAAAACCATGATGATTATGGACAATGCATGTGTCGTGGTTTAAGTGGGAATCCGCGCAAAGTTGGAATTCCCACTTTGTCCGGCTGGGCAATGTGGGAATTCCAATACTGCCCGGCAAAGTAGGAATGCATCTAAAACTTGCATATTTACAATTGTACTTAGTTTTCAACGTTCTTTAATGATTGGCCTGCGAACATTAACACAGAAGCATACTGTGTCAGACAGCCAAACTGCCCATTGTTATTTGTTCTTCATTGCACTGCTACTGACCCTAGTCAAAGTTAATTCGCGTCAAATTAGATGTATTTGCTATTGATAAGGGGTTTTGAAATTATACCCATATAGGTAATATTCTTACATCGCACTGCTATTCAACCCGAGCAAAGCGGGAATTTTGGTCAATTCGGATGTATTTTTTGATAGGTATGGGGTGTTCAAATAACACATGAGTAAGATCCCCACACAGCGCTACTACCGAACCTGGGAAAGGTGTAAATTTCTGGAAGTTTTGATTTAATTTGCCATAGAAAATAGGTGTTAAAATTACCCATATTCCTACATTGCGCTGCTATACTGAACTTGGGCAAATTGGGAATTTTGTAAGTTTTGATGTAATTGCTATAGAAAAGGGCAGATAAAATATACCCATGCGTAATATTCCCACACTGCGCTACTACCGAACCCGGGGAAGGTTGGAATTTCGTTCAATTTTGGATGTACTTTTTTTTTTATAGGTATGGCGTGTTGAAATGACGCATGGGCAATTCCCACATTACTCTACTACTGAGCCCGGGCAAAGTGGGAATTTTGGCCAATTTTGATTTAATTTGCTATCGATAAGGGGTGTAACACACATTACCCATTGGTAATATTCCTACATTGCGCTTTTACTAAACTTGGGCAAAGTGGGAATATGCTTGAGTTCTGATAAAAGGGCAGATAAATTTACCCATAGGCCTAGTTAATATTCCTACATTGCGCTACCACTGAACCTGGGCGAAGTGGGAATTTTGATTTAATTTTCCATAGAAAACTGGGTGTTAACATTACCGATACATAATATTACGACACTGCGCTACTACCGAACCCGGGCAAGGTGGGAATTTCGTTCAATTTTGGATGCACTATAGGTATGATGTGTTGAAATGACACAGGGGTAACATTCCCACATTGCGCTACCACCGAAACTGGGCAAAGTGTGAATTTTGGGAACTTTTGATTTCATTTGCCATAGAAAAGGGGTGTTAAAATTCCTACATGTTAAGTAGAAGCGCAATGTGGGAATATTGACAGTCGGTAATTTCAACAGCCCTTACTTATAGCGATAAAATAAAAATCTATCGAAATTCCCACTTAGACAAGGTTGTAGCGCAATGTAGGAATAGTAATTTCAACACGGTCCTATTAACTATAGCAAATTACATCAAATTAGAACGAAATTCCCACGTTGCCCGGTTCTGTAGTAGGGCAATGTGGAAGTGTTACCAATGGGTACTTTGAACAGCCCTTATGTATGGCAAATTACATCACAATTGCCCGTAATTCCCACTTCAGCGGCCCTGGTTCTGTAGTAGGGTCATGTGGGAATATTACCAAAAGGTACTTTGAACACCCCTTATGTATTACCTCCCTCTAGCTTCAAAAGGGTTCACAGGTGATTTTAGGAAGAGATATTGATGTTAATATTACATAAGACAATATTCCCACTTTTGCCGTGCAGTGTTGGAATTCTCACTTTGCCCTGGGCAAGTTCCGAATTTACCCAGATTCCCACTTTGCGCGTGACACGTACATGCACACAACAGTGCTGCAAACTGCACGAAGCACAGTTCATGAGTGGCCGTTATAATTATGTTCATAAAAAGTGGGGAAAATACCAAAGCTGCAATATAGCGAAACACTATTAATCTTTAATTGACCTCCCCCCAAAAAAATGATCATAAAACACGTGACATGCAAAATATCTTACCGATTCAGGGACCTGACCGAATAAGAAATAAGCGAACATCTTGAGAAGGCCGCCACCTATTTCGCAGCTTATGGCAAATCTGGCTTTCACACGCTCAACTTCCGCAGGGACAGAATTAGGATCAATCTGCAAGGCTAATAAAAACAAAACCGGAAACATTTGATAATTTCCATCAGTGGACAAGCTTTTGGACGAAAACCTGAACGATTTCGCTTAAAATAAAAAGAAATTGCTGTTGTTTTAAGTCTAAATTCGAATTGTTTGTATGTACCCTTTGTTTTTCTAATAAGGGAAACTGACTAGGCGAAATTTTATTGTTGAACAAAAGAATTGACGCTGCTCCAGTCAGGTTCAAACCCCGCTCCAGTCAATTTTTTTGTTTAAATTTTGTTTTATCTTAATCTAATTTATTATTTTATTTTTTCATTTCACCATCATTTATCATTATCCTACCTGTAAATTTAATGTTCAAATGAAAATTGTATTCGTTTTTAGCAACAATAAAAATTTAAAAAATCAGAAAAAAAATGCTCACCTTTTTCAGCGTCAGCGTGTGCTTCTCGGTGTGCACCCTGAAATAAAAGGAACTTGAGAAATGAAAACAAGACAAGTCTCAACTCTGTAGTTGAGGGCTCTCACTTTCACACCGACAGAAAGGTGCCCCCTTTTCTGGATAAGTGCCCCTTTTTGGTGCCCCCCCCCCCAAGTTTGAAAAGCGTTCCGCCTCCTCTGCATAGCACATTCTTTCTTGGGACGGTTTGAGCAATAACGGTAATAAACTGTAAATATCACGGGAAATGGACAGTGTTCAACGGGTTTTGTTTACAGTGTATCCCAACACATACCGTAATGCTCTCATATTTCCAAATAGTGAACACTTACTGGACTCACTCACTGGACTGAAACTAGGGACCAGGCGTTTCAGAGTGAAATTCGTTCATTCAAATAAATCGAGTTTTCACTCGAGGTCCACTGGATTGACTCGTTCTTTAGAGTATTTCAATCTTAAATTGGAGTGATTCTCAATCCAAATCCTCTGGGTCTTAGTTTTACTCTTCGCGAGTCCGAGTCCGAGTCTGAGTCCGAGTCTCGAGTCACAAGCCTGGACTCCGAGTCCGAGTCTCGAGTCACAAGCATGGAGTCCGAGTCCGAGTCTCGAGTCACAAGCCTGGAGTCCGAGTCCGAGTCTCGAGTCACAAACCTCAAGTCCGAGTCCTAGTCAAGAGTCGCTTTTTCTCAGTTGTTCACCAAACTAATAAAAATAAATTTAAAATTATTTTTCAATCATCCATTCTGTCTTTTAAGTAAATCCCAGTGTATATAGTTTACCTTGTGTGTGTACATCTTGTTTAGATCCAAAATTGTGTTTTCCTTGTAATTCCTATCCCTAAAAAAACCTCCTCCATCCCTTCCGCTTCCATGTTTTATCATCCAAACATTATTCCTCAATGGTCCTCTCCCATCACTACCCCGTGCGCGGCCCCTAGAAACGATATTCCGCGGCGCCCTGTTTTGTCTATGGAGTAAAAACCAAAAAGGAATGCTACGTTCGTCGCACAAATACGTAACATTATGTTTTGTCTTTTGATGAAAATACGTGACTCACTCACATGTCACCAAGCTCGAGTCCGAGTCATCATGGTCGAGTCCGAGTCCGAGTCCGAGTAATTTTCCAATGTGACTCGAGTCGAGTCCGAGTCACGAAAAATCGACTCGAGTCCGATTCGAGTCCGAGTCCTGGACTCGAGTCCTACGAGTCCTGCTCATTGGTTGTATTGTGCATGCCTTATTGGACATTAGAAAGCGATAGGTATAGGGAGTGAGGGTTAAAGGTAAAAGAGTCAACATTTTCTTTGACTGCGGCGTCGTCGGCTACGGCTACGTTATAATGACCCGTTACTGGAAACAAAATGTTGCCATGCATTTTTTTTTTCAGTTTAAATTCCATGTTTGTTTATATTTTGGCATAAAATTTTATTTAAATTTGTCATGGCTCGAACTATTTTGCGATACAAATTAAAGATATATCTGGTGAACAACGGGGTATCGGCGGCGTGTTAAGTCTCCGATTTTGAAGGTTGGACAAAAACAAAGACAGTTTGGGAGCTATAGTAACTTGTAGGAGACTGAAACTGTTATAGCGCCGGTTGCAGTTAGAACATTCCGTTAACTGTGTGTTCCAATGTGGCTGCCGTCTGAGAGTCACTGTTTCAACTCTCAAATTAATGTGTTTTTCCTGGTTGTAACAGGGGCATTTTATTTTTTACAACGCAAGGACGTTTTGAAAGGCAAAGACCTACAAAAAGAACGCATGTACAAACAGAGTAACAACTGTTCTTTCTATGTCAGCGTTTTTAATGTTGTGCAATTTTTCGTGTATTATTAAAACACATCTCGTCATTATGATCAATGAATGGTTTAAACATTCATGAAGTAGTCTTACCAGGATGTTGTAACATTGTGACCTCAAGATAAGGAGTCTGGCGTCATTTGCTGTATCACAGCTATATCCCACACGCGAGAGAAGTCTTGAGGGAAAATACATAAAAAACAATGTCAATTAGATTAAACCCCCCCCCCCAAAAAAAAAACCCCAAGAAGTGACAAAGTAACTAAAGTTATAGCACACACTTGTCATTAGAGGTTGAAATTGCTCTGTAAAAGCAATGTATTGTAACGGACATTACTTGCTCTTTTCTTGCTCTTTCCTCGCTCTTTTGCTCTTTTTTTGCTCTTTTCTTGCTCGTTCCTTGCTCTTTTGCTCTTTTCTTTCTCTTGCCTTGCTCTTTGCTTGCTCTTTTGCTCTTTTCTTGCTCTTTTCTTGCTCTTTTCTTGCTCTTTTCTTGCTCTTTTGCTCTTTTCTTGCTCTTTTCTTGCTCCTTTCTTGCTCTTTTTTGCTCTTTCCTTGCTCTTTTGCTCTTTTGTTGCTCTTTTCTTGCTCTTTCTTGCTCATTTCTTGCTCTTTCCTTGCTCTTTTCATGCTCTTTTGCTCCTAGCTGTCTTGCTCATTATCAAGACATGAGCAAGAAAGGAGCAAAAAGTCGAAATTTTAAAACATTGCAAATTCTGAATGGCCCCCTAGTTGCTCTCGATCCCCGACGAGTCCTACCGGGGCAAGCAGCGGTTGCAAGCCTCATCATGCGGACAGGATCACGGACGTGCACACTGATATCGCTACTAGCGGATCAGTGCTGCACATGCAGTTGGCCAGCACGCTCACGAACGTCGAACGCACCGGAGCGGCGCCGCGGGTCAGGGACTACGAACATGAAGGATTACTTGATGCATTTTGATCGGAGAAAACCCTCGACCCTCGATGAGCAGTGGAAATCGCGGCCGAGGCAGAGGCGTGGTGCAAGGCAGAGCAAGTTGGGCGGTCGCGTGCAGTCTTTCCCTGGCCCAAAAAGGAGGAAACCCTTAGTTCCATGGCCATTGACCAGATCCTGTCGATTCTGCGGGAGCTCTTGCAGTCAAACCCTTTGGCAACATTTGGAAATTTGTAAATTTTGTTATAAATCCCTGTAATGTTGCTGTAGAGATGTGCCTCTATTCAGGAGAATATGCAAATTCTTGGGAGGGGCAGTGTAACGACAGTTTGTTGCTTTTGTTCACTAGCCACCGCCGGAGGGTTGCGGCGCGGCGCGGCGGCGCGTTGTTGGCGCGTTGGGTCACAGGTGCACTGACCTAGTTCTCTATTAGCGTGCGCTCCGGAGATTACTTTCTATAAATAAATCACTAAAAGGTTTGGCTCATAGGGTTTGCCTACTCCAAGTTGTTACATTGTAATATATTCATTTTGTGCAGCTGTGTTTTATACGCTGGGAATTCGCAGTTGTGGTACTGGTACTGGTAGCAGTGTGGCAGGTTGACCACAGAGTTGAATAAATAAGAGTTTCTTCTGGAGTTGGAAATCCTGTGTGTGTCCCCTTTTCTTGCGTTTTGCTAGACTTGGAGGACAAGAGTCCAATAAGTTCACGTTTCAGTATTATCAAAGTTATTTCTGCTGAAATCACCTGTGGCTTCCGATGTTTCAATCCATCTATTGTCGTGTCCCGTTTTGACAATTTTCCTTCTCTGTGCCGCATTCTAATTAACGTTACTTATTCTCAGGTTTGATTTAATATTTACCCGCCAACATGATCGATTCCAACACAAAGAAAAACGAGGGCCTGTTCATAGTCTTCCTCTGCTATCAGCGCCTTGGCTTCTTCCTTGACATCTTGCTGTACTCCCCGTATGAATTCCCTTACCTGCAAGGTTGGAAAATAAATGTTGAAGGTAAAGTCGTACATAATACCAATTGAGAGACAGACTGCTTATAAAGCTGACATACATCACTATATGCAGCCAAATCCTGCTGCATTTTGTCAACTGAAATATAGAAAGGTTTATGCATATATTTGCATACTTCTAGTGGGCATTGAAATCAGAACATGTAAAGTCACCGGGGTACACTGCAAAAAGGGCACTCAGAACCGAAAGTAAAGAAAAAATCGCCAACTGGAGGATCACTTAGAGCTGGAACTGTTTGGCAAATTAAAACTAAACCCTTCTTCTTAGTCAAAGACATATAATTCAGAGGTATGATGAGTGACTTAAAAATGGTTTACATAACGTGTAATGCTTATAAAAATACAGTGTCAATATTGGTGTGTAAATTAAAAGAAACAAATCGCGGATAGGATTTTTTAGGCATTAAGAACAAAGAGCATCATGGAGTTTCGCTGGCATTTTTACAAATTTTGGAAAATGCAAAACAAATGGGTTTTGTACCACCTGTTTCGATATAAATTAGAAATGGCACTCACAATGCTCGGAGGTGGGAGTAGTTCTTCAGGAGTTTCACTAAAAAGAGACAGAGAACACATTTATTCGAATGTGGCTGTTTTAAAGATGTATTTTCCTACTCCTCAACAAATTTAAGGTTTATTTTCTCCTGACGGATTTTCTATTGTTGTTTTATCCGCAACCCTCTGAAAAACTTAGGAATTTATTTGAGGTCGCTTTTACACACAAAATTTGTTTGGTAATTATTCCATACGTGAATAAAAGTGGGCCGATTTTTGTTGTCCGATGTCTCAATCAAAGGTGGATAACACTTTCTGCTAGAAAAATAGAGATTAAAAAAAATGCAAAACTCGTCTTTCCCTGATCCTTCCAAACTGGATTATCTCGAAGCGTTTGCCTTGGAGACTAATGCTTACACGAGATAATCTCAACATTGGCTTCCTTGTCTATAACTTTGGAGTTCAACGTCATGTTAGTTATTTGGATGGCTTTGAGGGGTACAAGAATATATTGCACAAGCTAAAACAATATTGTTATAGTGAGTGCAATATATTCTTGTATCCCCTGAAAAAAGCCATCCAATATTAATAATATTATTTATATCAGGCTGACTTGATCCGCAAGAAATACCTTTCAGGATACTATCTTTATTTCTCATATACCATATATCGTCAAATGTTCTTTGCTTACCGAAGCCAAATTTCGCGCCGCCATTGTGGTTGTTGACAAAATAAGTGCGCATAATAATTAATGATACATCCTGCTGCGTGCGCTACGTCCGCCTGCAACGGTACCGCACGCTATATACACTCTGTTGACTGGTTGACAACAGTGAGTTTCTACGCTCTTGATTGTGCGGGAACCAGCGACATTTGTTAAAATGCCCGGATTAGGACACTGGTACTTTTACTGACATAATATTACTGTCATCCGGGTACTTTTTACAAAAGCACACAACACGCTGATTTATTTTTACCGTTGGAAGCCTGCTATAAATAATAATACATCTCGTGAAGGAGAATTTTATATCAAGAATAAATAAATTACACTGAGTAAATAATTTGAATTTTTATAGGTGAAGATTATGAACCCATTTCTGTCGTTTTCTCCCAAAAATCGTAAGAAGGCCTTCATTGTAATGGGTATTTTATCAACATCAAATACCTTAATTGTATTATGCGTAAATTAAAAACGACAAATGAATAGATTGTTTTTCTTTACCTGAGCAGGCGAAAACTTCGAAAAAGTCTTCCAAGACGCTGTTCCTGGTCGTCGTCATCCATTCTCCTATTTTGAGTTGGAAGAATTTCAAAAGCCAATTATCACTTTGTTACATCATAATCCGCCAAACCACCAATTTCATCTTGGATTTTTCGTCCCTAAGGCTTAGGCATACATTAACCCGAAATCACATTCAATTTATAATACTCAAAATACAAAACCTCTGAATGCCAATTTCCTGACCCCATAAGCGTAGGTCCAACTAGCGACGAAAAAGGCCAATCATTAATATTTATCCAATGTAACGTTATTTTATTGGTGGAAGCTAATACTGCAAGCAGCGGTTGTTAGGTGCTGGTGCTTTTATTTCCTTAAAATAATTGGAAAATGTCGCTTGGGAAGGGAGTTTCCGACCCCTTTCCCATTGGCCCCCTGCTAGATACTGATGATTTCATCATGAAAAAAAGGCCCAATTTAATGTACTGGTCCGAATTGAGTTCACTTTCCCAAAGAAAGTTGCGCAATCTCCTTAGTGAACAACTGTTTTCGGTGACGGTTTTTAATGTGCCGATATGGTGAATCATTATTGAGACAGAAGAAAATGTATATGCTCCCTTTATATTGTGCAATACCGCCCCGTCCGGTAACACTGAATCTAACAATGGCGCAATTATCTGTCATGAAACCCAAATAATCGGTTTGTGTACCATATACTGCCTGCCGATCGGCCGTATAGCATCCCGGTTATACTAGAGGTTTCAGACTAGACTGGGCCAATTATTGTTCCCACAGCTGTCCTGATAGGGTTATCAAAAGCAAAGCTCAATTTCCCTGACCCAATGGTGGCAGATCTACAGTTTCCGCACAGGAACTACTGACTTGAAACAAAGTGTGACAACAGAATAAAATACATAATTGTCCAGTATAAAATTTCGCTCTCGTAAAGCTAGAGGGCGCTATCACAACAAATTATGTCAAAACGTTTCCCCATGCTCACTAAAGTGGTATTAAAATACAGTGGGATATCGAGGAAAGTTAGAGGTAATAGAAGAAAGCAATGTCCACGGCGTTAACAAACGTTCGACGAGGAAATAAACGTGGTTTATTTCTTTCTTTTACGTGGCCTCGTAATATATGGAGCATTGAAATCATAGCAGGGGCGGATCCAGGATTTTTTTTAGGGGGGGGGGCTGGGAACACCGTTGGGGCATTTGCTTGTGTGTGTCATGTCAACGCTTGCGCGCACTTCGCCGACGCACCGTTGGAAAGGCCTTCTTTCGTTGATTACTTCAAAATGACAGCTTGCCAGGAAGAAAAATTTCACAAGGAGTTTAGTTCCCTAACTATCTTTCAACCAAGTATGTTTTTCAACAATAATTACGCCAGTTACTTTTTGGATAGCTGCAAATGATGGACTCCGGCTTTAGGGGCCCCGGGACATTTTGGATTCTAGATGCTGTGTTGCAATCTGAGGCAATTCCTAGCCACTTTCCCCTGAATTATCTCAAGTTCAAGTTACTTGTGTACTTCAAAGTTGAGAACCATTTACGCCTGCATTTTTTTTGCATTTTCTTTTGGAAAAGGAATTGTATTGGCTTAGTTTGTAAACTGTTGCAACGGGATGCTTTCTGATGTTTACTTGTTCCTCAATATTTTGTTTAAAGTTGAAGTGTTTAGTTTATCAAGAAGAACAAACCGCTTGAACATGTATATTGAATTCAAGTTCAAATTAGTTTAATTTAATCAATCTAAAACAGAGGAGCAATTAGGCCTCCGTGCACATTGTGTGTAACTTCACAGCCCAGTTTTATCTCATGACTACAAAAATTAAATCATGCGGTCGTCTATTTTTTTCTTCCTTTTTTTGCATGATGTAATTTGCAGGTTCTTTGCCCAATCATGCAGAAATGTTCTTGGTTTTATTTCAGTCCAGTTTCAATTTCAAGAATAGGGCCTAATACATGTTTTTGTAAATAAAACCATCGGCAGATCGGCGGCGCGGCAAGACAAATTGTATAAAGCAATCATCGTAGTTCGTATATGACTAAAAATAATAATATGCGACTGGTCTAAAAAAAAAAATAGTCATCGGGCCTTTCGGCGCCATGATTGCAATTTCCACATGGTGCAACACATTTTGAAGGTGGATTCGTCATTTTTGAATGTAAAAAATACAGTAAATAATTGTACATGATTACGTTGAGAAATAGACATCGGGAATTGCTACCTATCCTGGCTACGTTCAAATTTTCCTCGCTTGCACTTGAGAAAGCAACACACCGCGTTCCGTCTTGCCAGAGCATGTCTGGAGCCTAAAACTTGCCTTGTGGCAATAATTGCTGATTGATTTTTCCTAAGAACAAACAGATACCTTTTGAGTACCAACAAAGTATCAGATTTCTATTTTCTGCAACGCGTAGTAACGTCAAAACCCTACTTTTTGATCGCAACTTTCTTCGATAAATTCAGCAAGTTGTCGACATTATGGATGGATCCATTTATATCTTAAGGGGTGTTTCAATCTTTTTCAGGGTTTTACATCGTTTCTTGAATAAAGGCTCTACGAAAATTATATGATGACGTTGAAGAACTCATTTTAAAACAAGGAAATGTTTTGGAGGTATAATTTGTAATTTTAAAGCAGTGGAAATGCTGGCAAATTGTTCTTACAAAAACACACCCCTTGGTGGTCCAAATAAAGATACAAACGTGTGTGTCGTGTGTGCGGGTACGTACGGTGGGATCGCGGTGTATTTCAAAGCTTCTCGCTGTGTCGACATGTCAAGCGGCCAGTACGCAATGTTCGAAATCACTGCGCTTTATTTATACCAACAAAACAGAAGCAGTAAGCTCGCGGGTCTGTAGTATCACTTATTTTATTATTATTGTTATTCTGGTTTAATGATCATTGTGTTTGTCGCCAGAGGCTAAAATCCCTGGATCCGCGCCTGCATAGTCTGCGGCAATTCTGCAGGCTGCGGATTTCTCTTGGTTCCAAGAACGTCCTTAGCGGTGCGATATTTCAGCACGAATGGGATTCAAGGAAGCGGGCGCCAACACACGCATTTTGCGTGCGGTTCGTCGACCGAGTGGTTGGTGAATGGGAACACGCAAGCTGCTCAGTGCGGGGTACAAAGGCTATACCGTCTGTCGTGAACTACCCCTCTACGAACCAAACTGCATGTAGTTGCGGATTCGAGTCTAGCCTGGGGTTGCGCGTGCGTGTGTCCTTGGGTAAGGCACTTTGTCACTCACTACTTCTCCCCATCCACCCAGGAGTAAATGGGTACATGTGAGGGCAGAAATGGTTATTGGGACTGGTTTATTTATTATTTATTAGATTATTTCTCAGGCAAAATACAAGACAACTGAACATATGACAGTTTTAAAATTCATTACATGAATGTCACAACAAAATGACAAACTACAAAAGGCTAAGATACAAGAAACTAAAATGCAAAAATCCGTTAAAAAACATTAAACATTAAATTGTGCCATACGCAGGCCTGAGGGATTGCCTAAAAAGCTAAAAAAAAAGAAAGAAAAGAAGCTTATCGAGAGGCTCTCCAACTACAGTGCAATTTTACACAAGACACATAAACAAACAAACAAATGAACGAACAAACAAACAAAAACACGACAAACAGACAGACAGACAGACAGACACAAGCACACAGAGCATAACAAACAAGCAAACAAACAAAAGTAGTTTACAAAAAATAAGACAAACACAGTAAGGCAAGATATGCATTTGGGGAAAGAAAAGACAGGTCCAAGCACAACACAGAACATTACAAACAAACAAACAAACATACAAGAAAACAGTGAGCAAAAGGCAACAAGGGAAGCAAAGACAAACAGGAGACAAACACACAAGGCAGGATACGCATGTACACAAAAAGGACAGCTATACAGACAGACCCAAGCACATAGAAAATAACAAACAAACAAGGAAACAAAGGAGCAAAAACAAATAAAAGACAAACATAAACAACTGAATATGCATATACGCTGAAGATTGAAAATCAAAACACAGTATCAAAACAAACAAATAAAACACACGGAAAAAATAGACAAAATAAATCAATAAAAAGCGAGAATACAAAATTCACTGACATTTGTGGCAGCATCAGGCTGTACTCACTAGCCTGGGACTGAGATTGTCTTTGGATGTTTCATTGGCCCAATGATCAGGGGTATTAGTAATAATGTAAAAAGGCTTTGATCGTAGTTAAAAGCGCTAAATAAGTTTACATTATTATACAGTGCAAGTAAAAAAAAACACTGTACACTTTTAAAATTGGCCATAGTTTTATTCTGTAGCAATAAAGATAAGATATTTTCATATGCACTTTTAGAGTAACTCTTCCTGCTTCTTTTGGTGACATTTTCACTGGATTAGTTTTCATGCATGACTGCTCAGGAGGCAATTAAAGGGGTGGGGTGAAATCTGACTTGCGCCAACTGGTCAGGGCTGGATAAGTAAGAAACAATTTAAAAGAGGCTTTCATTAGCTTTTAAACTTCGTGTTTATTTAAAAGATTTAAGTTAAATTAAAAAGGCAACTAAATTCCACGTCGTCTTAGTCCTCAACATGGCCACCATCTCGTTCAATGCACATAGATGGGCTCGGTGCATCATTCCTGCAACAGCACGGCGAATCACCTCCCTGTCTTGTCTGAGAATGTCAATTTCACGAGTTATCATTTCCTGGAGGTCATCCAGATTTGCCTACTGAAACTCTTGCAAGCAAGATCCACAAATCTGAACTGATTATGCATTCCATGACCAGAACCAAGACAATGGTTGTGTTCGTTTAAATTGTTTCATTCTTATCCAGCCCTGACCAGTTGGCGCAAGTCAGATTTCACCCGATCCCTTTGATTGTCTCCTGTGCAGTCATGCAAGAAAACCAATCCAGTGAAAATGTTACCAAACGAAGCAGGAAGAGTTACTCTAAAAGTACATATGAAAATATCTTATCTATATTACTACAGAAAAAAACTATGGCCAAATTTAAAAGTGTATATTTTTTTTTACTCGCACTGTAATTATAATTAAC